GCTTACGGGACACTGGCCGAAGGTGACCGAGAGCTGGCCATGTAGCTGGTCAGAGAGGCAGAGAGACCAGGCCTGAGCCGTCAGCAGGGACATCGGCACCCACGTCACGGCTGAAGCCAGAGGCGTGCGATCAGTGGAAAGGCATGAATTCAAGTCCAAGCTCTTCTAGATACGTGACCGCTTCCTTACCTCGCCAAGCCTCAGTTTCCCCATTCACGACACGGCCCTATTAATAACTACGTTTTAGTATTACTACAGGAAACTGGCCTCTTTTCCCCCTGTGTAAAACACGAGGCTGGACCAGCCCACCTCTGAGGTCTCCCGCCCTGACACTGTGGCCCTACCTTGTCCTCCGGTCTCCTGTCTGCGATTCACCTGCCGTCCAGTAGAGGGGGCTCGCACCTCTCCCAGGCGGCCCAGAGACTTCTAAGTCCACGCGTGCTGAACGTGGGTCATGCTTTGTGCAGGGCCTGACCAGGGCCCACATTCAATAAATAATAACCCTGCTTGTCTCCATTTCACAGATGCGGAAACTGAGGTTCCAAGGGATCAGGCACTGGCGATAACCTGGGCAGCTTCAGCAGAGCATGGTACTATAAACATCTGAAGGCGGGCCTTAGAAGGGGGTGGGGGGGGCCATCCGGCAGATGTCCCTCCTCCTGTGTCCCATCTCAGCCTGCGGTCTCACCACCCACTGCCCCGGCCAGTCACTGAGTCCGCCGTTTCTCCTCTGAATCTCCACCACGCAGGGTTTTCCTTCTCTGCTGTCACTGCTCGGGTTCAGACGCTCCCACCCACCCACCTCTTATTCCGCCTCAGTTTCCCAGCTGTGGACCTGACACTGACACTGTCGGTCAGAGCTGGACGGCTGGGACAGGGCCTGCCCTGGTGGTTTGTGGGCACACTGTCCTAGGGAGTGTTTCAGGGGGTCAGGAGTGAAAGAATGGGGGATCCGTCACAGGCCCCTCCAGCCCAGGGGGCCACATTCTGAGGACTGAAGGGCCAGGCAAGCTGGACGCCTGCCCGGGGTCACAGAGGCCACCACTCTGCTCCGCCCAGGGCCTCACAGCCGAACACGCTCCCCCGGATTTTTCTCTGCTGCTCTGGGTCCTAGGCACAGGCTGAGGGGCAGCCCCTACCAGCTGGGCCACACCCAGCCCCTCCTGCTCTGGAGCCCCGGGAGGGCTGGCCTGTCCATGCAGGGTCTTCGGCTGCCTGGGCTCCCTGCTCTGTTCACTCCGACCCCTCTGCCTGCTGGGGAGGTTTCTGGGGGAGGGCCTCCAGCTGTGGATCAGCGGCCCGGCTCGCTCTGGGAGCCCCACAAGGCTGTCTGGCCTGGGCTCTCCATGGCCGAACACCCTGGGCACAGCATCCACTCAGAGTCAGAGTTGGGGGGCCTGGGCTCCTGGCCTCAGCTGCTGCCCAGTTTCAGAGCAGAGCGTGGCAGGATGCCAAAGGGACGCTGCCTGTCCGTGACACAGGCTAACCCAGGGGCCTGAGAGGGGAGGGCCTTTCGGGCAAAAGCAGGCCTCTCCCCCGAAGGGCAGAGCCCTTTCCTGGCTCCTTCCTCTGCCTGGCTCCCTTGCCACCCTTCCCGGAAGCAGACCTCTCTTTCCCCACCACCGACCAGGGCCCGCTGTGGAGTCCCCCAGAGGTCTGCTGGCCTCCCTGGGTCTGCCCCTCCAGCCCACTCCTCAGCAGCCTCTCTCTACGCACCAAGGACGGCAAGTAGCAGGGCCTTCCGAAGAGGCAGGACGCCAGCCCCATCCTCGTCACACCTTTGTGAAAACCATTCAGTGGCCCCACCCTCTGCCAGGTGATAAGGATGAATAAATCCCCTGTCACCTGTCACCGCATGCCTGACACACAGGGCTCACCCTCTGGCCATACCCAGCTTCTTGCCATGCCTTTCCCCACCCACCCAGCAGCGTGGCTCCTGCTCTGCCTGACCTCCTCTCCCCACTTCATCTCTTGGTTGGACTCCTACTCTTGATCTTTAAGAGCCGGCCCCAGCACTCCCTCCTCCAGGAAGTCTTCCCTGATGCTCCCAGCTGAGTACGGCCCTTTGTGCCTCGGATGCCACAGTTCACACGGTCTTCTCTAGACTATGGCTCCTCGGGGACCCTCATCTGATGACAACAAACCCATCAATGGGACCTGTGCAATAATGGAGGGACATGTGTACCAGCTGTCTGGGAGCCAAGGGCCAGCCAGTGTCCTCACCCGTCCCTTGGGCAGTGAGGAGGCGCCCCAAGGAAGCTGAGCCTACAGGCAGATAGGACAGCATCTCGGGTGTGTCCCTTGAGCAAGGAAGGGTTGGCCACGCCAAGCAGAGAGCGGCAGGTGCCCAGGTACTGAGGCATGACTGTACTCGGAATCTCAAGTCATTCTCTAGGCTTTGGGTGGAGCTCCAGGGGCAGGGTGTGGTGGGAGATAAGGCCGGGCCCAGAGGCAGGAGCCTCAAGTTCACGGAGCTCCCATTCCACTCAGTGGAAGGTCGGGGGAGCTCCTCAAGGCATTTGAGTATGATGAGTAAATGCAGGTCTCTCATCATCTAGTCACAAATGTTGTTAGTCTGCCGCTGGCTCATTTACCAAGTTCATGGTCTAGGAGCAAACTAATACCAAGGTGGCCCAAGTCCCAGTTACCAAAGAATGTGTTACTGAAAACTTTCACAAGGAATTCTTTCTAAATCCTGTGAAATGTAACCCTGGGACTTCTAGGCTCCCTGGAGTTAGTGAGAATGTATCCAGCAAATGGTAAGTATCTTCCAAGTTCTAGTGGGTGCGTATCTAATAGATGTGTGCCTCAGTGATGGGTTTTAGGCAGAGGAGTGATCAGATTCCCAGTTCAGGAGGAGCCCCTGCCTTCAGGAAGGGGAAGGACCGATAAGTAAGAGAGTGGAGGCAGGGAAGCTGGGAGGCTGCCCCTCAGTCACAGAGGGTCCGAGCCCAGGCCAGAGCAGAGGGGGTATATGGGGGAGGGTGGATCTGTAGTAACTTGCTAAGGAGGTGAGACTCACAGGATGGGGGGGGGATGGGCTGGTGGTGGGGGCTGAGGGAGGACTCAGGGATGGTCCCGGCCCCCCACTTGGATGCGTGGCTGGGTGTGGATGCCTTTGCTGAGCTGGGAACATGGGGAGGGAGGCTGGGTTGTTTAGAGAAAGATACTGAACTCTGGTTGAGTTCTAAGGTGTCTCCCAGTGACTGGCGGGCAGGAAGCTCTCAATATATAGCTGTGGAGTGAGTGAATGAGTGAGTGGATGAGTGAGTGAGGGAGTGAATGGATGAGTGAGTGAGGGAGTGAATGAGTGAATGGATGAGTGAATGAGTGAGTGAGGGAGTGAATGGATGAGTGAGTGAGTGAGGGAGTAAGGGAATGAATGAGATCCCACAGCCTTGTAGGCTCACAATTCAAGGAGATGCCCTCTGTCCTCACTTCCCTCCCCTCCCACCCGAGTCCTGGCTCCTGGGGCCCCAGCAGGACGACTGTGCCAAAGCAGTGCTCTGGCACCCGGAGCTTTCTGTGCTCAGCAGCATCGTTATGGCCCCCAAATCCCTGGGTAGGGGTATAAACCAGTCTCCATCCCTCCTTCTGCCCCTCCTCCCAGGCATGGCTTTGCTCCTGCAGAGGTGCATGGTGCCTGGCACTGAGAAACCCCAGGCCTGGCCCCAGCTGATCAGGGAGGAGGTCTTGGCTGGGCCCCTGGGCCAGGGCCGGGATGCGGGGGATGGGCCATGAAGGGACAGGTTGTTACGTCCTGAAAGAAGCTGAAGGACCAGGAGGCCGAGACCCACTGAACAGAAACACAGGGGGTTGGGAGGGCTGGTTCCCACAAGGCCGTGGGCCCAGGACTCACCCCCTAGGCACCTGGTCCCTGGGCCTCTCGGATGGCTTTGTGAGGGACTCTGGCAGGCGGGAAGGCCCCAGGCCAGGAACCAACCCCTGGATTCCAGCCTTCCAGGACTCCAGCCTTCCAGGACCTTGGGGGTTGGGGATAGAGTGAGGAGGTCTCCTGGGATGGCCCAGCAGAAGCCAAGGGGCTAAGGGCAAGGATGCAGGCCGGGCTCCAGAGCACAGGACTCCCCTTCACAGCCCCTCACACACCCTGGGGCCCCGACCCTCTGCCCACGGGACCTGTGGCCAGGCTGGCATCTCCATCCTCTCCTCTCCCTCCTGCCTCCCCACCGTGGTTTCAGGTCTGATGTCCTGTCTCCTTGTTAGACTGTGAGTCACAGAGGGCCAGTGGCCTGGCCCACCCTGGGTACCAAGGGGAGTTTTTAAATAAAATGAACATTGGGTAGGTTCATGAAGCAAGACTGAGGCAGGCCTCAGTTTCCCATCTTTGCTGAAGCCAGCTGGCCACGGAACCTGGTCCTGGTCCAAGGGCATGGGGTATGGTGGGGAGGTAAGGGAGCAGAGGAGCAACAATGGGGTGGGCGGAGAGTCCCTGCTGCGTGGGAGGGGACCGGAGAAAGGACAGAATGAGGTAGGCTGTGCCTGAAGGAAGGCTCAGCCCTCCAGGTAAGGCCCCCCGTGCCCCCCATCTGCTCTCACCTGACCCGTGTCCTGCTCCCAGGTGCACACGATCACACACCCACACGTGCGGCACAGGCCTGGGTGCACCTCCGGCCCCTGTCCCCTGACTGCAGAGGCCAGACTCCCCTGGGCTGTGGGTTCCCTCTCCTTCTGGGGCCGGATGCTGACCTGGGTCCACCTAAGAGGCCCCCAAAGGGAGAAGGAGCAGGAGCCACACGCTAACACCAGCGGCAAGCAGAGGAAGCTGGGAAGCAGGGTCTCTGGTAACCTCGGGACACCTGCAGGGCCACACGCCATCCAGCATCGGGCAGATGGTGGCGTGTGAGGCCGCCCCACCCGCCAGGGTCCAAAGAGCACAGGCGGGGCTGCAGCAGCCTCATCGCTGCGAGGGGCCGGGCTTGGCCGCCTCACACTGCGCCTCTGCCTGAGCGCTGGCAGAGAAGACGCCCACCCCACGGCCGGCGCCAGATCGCCAGCCTGACACCAGCCCCCTCGGGGGACCAGCCGCTGAGCCTCACTGGCAGCCAGGTAAGACCTGGGCTTCTGGAGGGTCAGGCCCAGAGAGCTGCAGTCACTGAGGGTTGGGGTGGGGGCAGCTCAGCAGGTCCCCAGGCCAGGGTCTCTGGCCCACTCCCAGATGCTGCAAGGAAGAGCAGCCCCAAGAAGGGCATGGTGCACAACCGGGGGCTGCCGTGCTGGGAAGAAGGCAAGGGAGCCGGCGCTCCAGAAGGGTCTGCCAGGGGCCATGGTGAGGACATACCTTCCCTACGCGAAGCCCCTAAACTCTCGCCCTTGCCCTGCAGGGACGAGAAGGCCAAAGCCAGCTCCCCTCTCCTGTTGTCAGGACCTTGAGCAGCAGAAGCTGCAGCAGGGACCTACAGGGACCCATGGTGACCGCCCTGGCGAGGGGGTGGGTTGGGGGCAGTGTTGACTCTAGTGGAGTTTACTTTCTCCTCTTTCTCTTCTGCATCCACAAGCAGGATATGTTGTCATGGCGGGAAGGGGGGGCTGGGGAGAGGGGGAGCAGGCTTCCAGCACCCCTCACCCTAGGAGAGGAAAGGGGTGCTCCCAAACAAAGTACTAAGGACCCAGAGCCTCCCTCCCCTGACAAACCCTCCACTGTTCACTAACGGTTGATTGCCCGCACTGAGTCACCTTATGTTCTGCCAGTTACTCCCAATAAACAAGGGTGTGGGCTGCTTGCTCTCTTACACTTTGCCCAGGATACTCGGGGCTTCTGCATGCCATAGGCACACCTCGAAGAGGCATGGACACTTGATTTAAACAACACTTGCCCTTGACCTCTGCCTGGTCCTGCCCCGCCCCACATAAACTCACACACGTGTGCCCCCACCTGTCTCAGCATCTCCATCCTCCAGGTGCCCCTGTACCAGGAAGGCACTGAGGAGACCACAGGGCCTGACAAGCCTGTCCTCAGGCACGTGCAGCCCTGCAATAGAGGTGCACGTGCAGACAACGCCAGCACGGAGCTGGCAGCCAGACAGGGCTGGGTCTGGTCTCTGTTAAATACTCACTTGTGACCTCTGGCCTATGACCCTCTTTGAGCCTCAGTGTCCTCATCTGGTAAATGGGATAATGAGAGCACCACCCGGGTGAGGACACTCTGAGGATTAAACAAGCTGTCAGAGGTAAAGTCTGAAGAACAGTGCTGGGCACAAGGAAGCACTCACGAGCGGTGGTGACAATTCAATGACGTAATGTTCATTGGGGCCTTGGCTCCAGGCTCCCAGCGCTGACTGGGGAGCTGATGCTGTTAGGAACAGGCAAGGTACCAGGTGGCATCAGGAGGGCACTCTGGGCAGGGTGGGATGGGGTAGTCAAGGAAGGCTTCCTGAAGGAGGTGACCCTTGGGCTGGAATGTAGGGTTGAGTGAGAGGGGCTCTGGGCAGAGGGGTCAGAGCATGTGAAGACACGGAGACCGGAGACTTGGGGAGACATTCGAGGGAGTGCGAATTGCTGACACAGGCCCCATAAATGTGCACACGTGCACACACACACCCCTCCTGAGCAGTTCTCCAGCCTAAGGGCCAACACTGAACATGCCCCCAGTTTGCAGACTTAAAACAGGCTTGGGCAGAGGCTTGCTGTGTCAGGAAGGCTGCGAACCCTCATGCCTTGCTGCAGAAGCTGGGTGCGGCCCTGCCCTCCGGCATCTGGCGCACTCAGGCCCAGGACAGGATCTGGTCTCAGGTCCCCGTCCAGCCAGCTCTCCTAGACCCATCCAAACGTGCTTTACTGACCAAATAAGGAGGGGCCAGGAGTCTGCCATGGGGCCTGCTGGGCCCAGCCACACGGAGGGCCTCTGAGTGAGGCACAGCTGGAGGCAGCTCTGGGGAGGCCCCTGGAGCCAGGGCTGTGAGTCTGGTCTCAGAGGGCCCAGGCGAGATCCTGGCCCAGGCCTCAGGCTGGGTCAGGGACAAGGTGGAGTGGCAGCTCCTCTCCCCAGCTGACAGCTGTGCCTTTGGTTCAGTTTGGGTTCCAGGAAGTCATCCCAGCAGCGCCGCCATGTCCCGGCCCAGCAGCAAGGCCATTTACAGTAAGCTTTCCCTCCGGTCCGCTCTCACTTGCCCTCCCTGAGTTTCCTGGCCCCCAGTCCTCTGGTCTGTCCCTGCCCGTGCTGCCCACCCCCTTCCTTTGCCTTTGTCTCACCCGGTTCTTCTGCCTCCGCTCCCATCTCTTGCTCTATCCCCTGCAGTACACCGGAAAGAGTACTTGAACACCCTCAGCTCAGAGCCCACCCGCCTGCAGCACAGGGTAGAGGTGAGTTTCCTGACTCAACCCAAGGTTTCCTAGGTGCCCGACGTGATGCCCAAGACCCAACGTCTCAGACAAGGCCCTGCCTCAGAAGCCAGCAGCCTGCCCTGGCCAGATTGGGGGGGGGGGGGGGGGGAGGGCTCGGGTCCAGCGAGTCTAACGGGGCATCAGAGCACCAAGTGCTGGGGAGGCTCAGGCAGCTGGGAATCGGCAGGGCTGCAGGGCAGGAGCTTGAATGGACAGATGTCCTGTCCCCAGGCACAGAAAAGCAGAGGGCTGAGCGGTCAGGAGGCACGTACAACCACCCCCGCCACACCCACCGGTCCCCAGGGAGCTGCTCTTTGACCTGCATCTGGCTGGGCAGGCTGGGCAGAGAAAGGAACATGTGAGGTCATCAGTCCCCACCAGAACGGGGGTCTGGGCAGGAGCTGTTGGAGGCTCTGGCCCTGCCTGAGAGGACAGTGGTGCTGTGACATCTAGCTGCCTGAAGGGGGCAGTATACGCAGCCAACACAGCACAGACTGGAAGGACACAGTGGGGAGAGCAAATCCCTGGTCAGGCCAAAGAACTGTCCATCGTAAACCGCCCCAAGGCAGCAGCAGGCTCAGAGCTGTCCCGGAGAAAGAGGAGGGCAGGACAAGGGGCGATGGTCTGGAGCTTCCACAGGGCAGCAGAGGCGGGCTTTCCCAGCCAGCTGGGCTAGGACTGGGGTTCCTGGGCTCCATAGCAGGGGTGGGAGTTGGGAAGGGGCTTTGTGTAGAGTGAGGGGAGGCGTGTCCAGGATGCCAGGACATTGGTCTGTGATGCCAGGGGCCCTGAACACGCTGGAAGCCCCTCCAGGAGAGGAGCAGGGGCCTGTGCAAGAAGCAGAGCAGTGGAACTGGCAGGAGGAGGCAGATGGCGCTCCCCCAGCAAGGGCCTGCAGGGGGCGTGAGGGGCAGGCCTGTGACCTGTGAAGGCCGAGGTTGGATGCGACAGGGAAGGGTCTCCTAGAGGAGGGAGAATGACAGCAGAAACCTGTGGGAGGATCAGCCCCGCTTCGAGAAGGGCCTTGTCTCCCCTCAAGGGGGATAAGATGCTGCGGACGCACTGGGCGGGAATCAGGGAGAAGGTGGGGCGTGGCCTTCCTCCCGAGAGACACTGCTCCGGATGAGCCCCTGCAGGGGGCAGGGAGGGTGGCCAGTGTGAGCAAAGGCATGCAGACAGGAACGCTGGGTCAGCTGGGAGGGCCAGGCTAGGGGAGTAGGTTCCCAAAGGAACAGAGGGAGCCAGGGATGGAATGGGAGGGTCCTGTGTCCCACCTGCAGGGGGTCCCACTTTCTTTGTTGCTTCGAACCACGCCTGCCCCCACCCAGCCCCCTCCGCTGGCCCGGACTGTTAAAGGCCACGTTCTTTCTCCAGGGTCCCAAGCCCCTCCCTCATTCGGCCCATCAGACCCTGGCTCGGGGGCCTTGTCCTAGCCAGCTTCTGGCGCTCACACGAGCCCTGGGAGGCTGCTTTGTGGGGCCACCTGGGACTGTCCCCGTGGGAGGCTGGGCCCATGTCTTCCTCCTCTGCTGCCTTCCCCCGCCCTGCCCACCACCCACTGTGACCTCTCCAAAGCTGCTCCCCGTCCTGAGCCCCTCCTCTTCCCGCAGCACCTGATGACATGTAAGCTGGGCACTCAGGGCATCAGGGACCTCAAAGATGCTGTGAAGAAGCTGCAGGAGGTGGATGCTCAGGGCCGGGTGTGGAGCCAGAACTTGTTCCTGCAGGTCAGAGATGGCCAGCTCCAGCTGCTGGATATCGAGACCAAGGTCAGCCCTCCTACCGTACCCTGCCATGGGTCACGGGTATGCAGGCTGTGGGAAAGCAAGCCCCGGCACAAACCCCACGCCTCCAGGCCCTGAACGGCGGCCGCCCCTCCCGTGTGCAGCACAGGTCTGGGTCCGGGAAGAGACCAGGCACAGAGCCGCGTGGGCGGGGGCGTTGGCACCCAGCCCCAGGCCACAGGCGGGCTGGGGCAGGCAACCCAGGTCAGAAACTCCCAGGAACCGCCCTGGCTCTCAGTGACCTCACAGTGGCTGTTCCACCTGGCCCAGGAGGAGCTGGACTCTTACCGCCTGGACAGCATCCAGGCCGTGGACGTGGTGCCCAGCTCCTGCTCTTATGACAACATCCTGGCCATCACCGTGCGGGAGCCAGGCCCGTCAGGCCCGCCAGGCAGCAGCACTCTGTTCTTCCAGTGCCAGGAAGTGGGGGTGAGCTGCTGGGGCTGGGCGAGGTGGGGGAGTGGGGCCCAGCAACCGTCACCCCTCCCCAGGCACACCGCGCAGCCTGCCTAGTTGCCGCTTCCCACAGGCACAGAGACTGAAGACCAGCCTGCAGAAGGCCCTGGAGGAAGAGCGGGAGAGCAGGTAGGCAGTCGCTGCCCCGGCCTGCCGGCAGGGTCTCAGAGCATGGGTCTGGGTGGACCAGACCCCAGCCCACATCTGGGGGTGCCCAGGAGCCTACAGCCCAAGGAACCCTGGGCCCGGAGCTGGGGCAGGGCCAGGCCGGAGGCAAGGGCATGAGGATGGGGCTGGGTCCAGGCCCAGGGAACAGTGGAGACTGTCCCAGAGCCTGACCTCGGCCTGAGAGGGCTCAGAGGCAGGCCAATAGGGCAGGATGGAGTCAGGGAAGGTTCAGGATGGAGACCTGGAGAGAAATGTGGGCAGAGCCTCTGTCTCCAAAACACTGTCAAACCTGTGTCCCCACCCTGTGCTCACAGACCTCCACTGGGAGCCCTTCACCAAGGCCAGGACAGATGGCAGGGGACTCCTCAAGAAAGGCCACTCCCCAAGGAGCAGGCACCCGCCCTGGTGCAGGGACTTCCTCCCCAACAGCCCCATTGGATGGCCAAAGAGCACTGTAAGTTTGGAGTGTGGGGACCAGTGGGAGGAGAAGGTTTAGATCAAAAATCAAAGAGGCCGTGGTCCCCTTCCATTGCAGACACACAACCATCCCCAAGGCCCCTGTCACGACATTCGAGTGCCCAAGGAGAACCAAGCGCCATCCCCCCACCTTTTCCGAAGCGGCCCCCATCCCCCCAGGACCCAATGAGGGACCAGGTAAGGTCTTGCCTCCAGGTAAGGGACCCAATGAGGAAGCGTCTTGCAGAGCTCTCTGGGGCTGGAGGAAGGGAGGACATTAACTCTTCCACTCCTACAAGGAAACCAGGTCCCAGGATGGCCAAGTCAGGCCTTGGGCTGAGGAGGGACAGGGAGGCTCGGCAGGGGCAGGGCTGGCTGTTCCGGGCGGGGGGGCCTAATTGTCCACTTGAGGCCACATGCTGTCTGTGGTCCAGGAGGTGCTGAACCACGTCCTGGAGGACATCGAGCTGTTTATGAAATGGCTGAATGAGGCCGAGGCAAACACCACTCTGAAGACGAAGAATAAACTGGGGAAGAAAAAAGACAAGTATAAGGGGGGTGAGTGCTGAGGGCCAAGGGAGAAGACTGGGGGGGGGGGGCATCCAGGGGTAATCTGCAGCCCACTGCCTTTTCCCCTTCCCCCACAGGGCTGACACAGGCGCAGTACATCGATTGCTTCCAGAAGTTCAAGTACAGCTTCAACCTCCTGGTATGTGGCCCCCACAAGTCCCCCAGCCCTTCCTCACACTACCGCCCCCAGCAACCCCTCCTCTCTGGGCTCATAGGCATCCCAGCTTCTCCTCTGGAACCTCCCCTCCCCACTCGGAGGACTTGGGCAGGTGACAGGCTCCCGAGCGAGGCCCAGAGCAATCACAAGCCCTGGGGTCCTGGTGAAGGTGGGGTGGGGTGAAGGGTGCCGATAGCGTCCCCTTGTGTCCCCAGGGCAAGCTGGCCACCCACCTGCAGACTCCAAGTCCCGATCATTTGCTGCACCTCCTCTTCAACACTCTGGACTCGGTGAGCTGGGAAGGGCAGGGCGGTGAAGAGCTCCAGGCTGAAGTGCAGACAAAGCAGAGGCCAGGGTGGCGGTCACAGGGGAGAGGGAGGCTGGGGGGTCCGCCCCTCACTCCCCCAGCACATCCTCCTTGGCCCCAGACCCCATCCCCACTGTGTACAGCACCCCCTGGCAGACTCTAGGGGCTGGGGTCAGAGCCACAGCCACCAGGCCTCCGAGGGAGCGGTGGTGGGGAGGAGCAGAAGTGGGCACCGGGAGGCCGGGCCCCTTCCCACTCCAGTTGGGCCCTGTGGGGACCAAGGCTTCCTGACACCTTCTGTCCTTCCTCTAGGTCCTGACCAAGTGCCCCGAGCGTGGCCTCGCAGCACAAGTGACCTCGCCCCTCCTCACCCGCAAAGCCGTGGACCTGCTGCAGCTCTATCTCAGCCCACCTGAAAGTAACCTGTGGAGGAGCCTGGGCGTGGCCTGGACCACCAGCCGGTGAGTGGAGACAAGGCCGGATCGAACCGGGGGCGCTTGGGGGCATAGGGCAGGGCACTGGGTGTGGCTAGCTGCCACAAACCAGAGACATCTCCGAACGTGGAGTTCCCGACTCCCCACCACACTCAGCATGAACAACTTCTTTTTAAAACCACCTCTCACCAGCACCCAGCACTGACGGGAAGGCATTATCTTGGGGGGGGGAAATAAATAAAAGAACAATTCTTCCCAAGAAAGGAGAGTTGGCAACCTTCTACTAGAATATTTTCTCATCTTGGTCAAGGAAAAAGTGAAAACTTTGTCTCAATCCGGCCCAGCATATAAGAATCACTGACGTAAGACATGCAAATGTAACTTTAGTAAGACTTGGTGACCAAACTGGCCTGGGAGTTAAGATCAAAAGTAAGACAGTGAGACAGGCAGTTGGACAGCAAGGCCAAACCAATGACAGCCACGGGGAATGGGGGACAAAACCAGCTTGGAGGTGCTGAGTTGGGGTGCCCATGGCCCAGCCCTCAGGTGGGATGGCCGACCTGGCTGTGTGAGTTTCAGAGCAGTCAGTCCAGGAATGATGGCTGGAGCCCCCTAGCGGTGAGCACGGCAGGGGGGGCAGTCCTGGAATACACCTTAACAAGCAAGGTGGTTCCAGTCCCTTGTGAGAAAGGAACCTTCTGCATGTGGGTGGAAGGAGGAAAGGGGTTAAGGAAGCGAAAGGAAATTCCTGAGAGTTCAAATAAGAAACAAAACAGCAGACGCATAAAAACCCAGACAGGAGAGGATGTTAGAGAGAAACGCCCACCAGGAGCTAAGGCACCTGCCCCAATGTGTTGCTAGTGAGTGGTTCTTTTCAATTCAGCCCCATCCAAAGACATGTTATTCAGTGTAGTCTATCTTTTTAATTGTGATAGACTACACCTAAGATAAGGTTTACCACTTGAACTTTTTTTAAACAACTTTATTTTGGAAATATCTTCCATTCCTGTGAATTCAGGGTTTGGGGGGGTGGTTTAGAAGATTTTGTTTATTTTTTTCAGGGTTTGGGGGGTGGTTTAGAAGATTTTGTTTATTTTTGGAGAAGAGCGAAGGGAGGGAGAAAGAGAGGGAGAGAAGCATCAATGTGTGGTTGCCTCTCACATGACCCCCAATGGGGACCTGGCCTGCAACCCAGGCATGTGCCCTGACTGGGAATTGAACCGGCGACCCTTTGGTTGGCAGGCCGATATTCAATCCACTGAGCCACACCAGCCAGGGCCACTTGAATGTTTCTAAGAGTGTAATTCAATAGCATTAAATACTTCCACAGCCCATCTGCAGAACTTCCATCACCCCAGACAGAAAAAAACAATTCGACAACTAATGAAACTCGGCACCAACCCCCTTCCCTGGCCCCGGTGATTTTCTACCTCAGAGCCCCTTTATCAGTTTCAGTACAAAACTAGGTCAGGTGTGCCCTAAAATGTGTTCTAATTGCTTAAAATCCCACCAAATATTAGTGGACAAATGAATTGAAAGGCAAAAATACAGAAAACAGACCCAAAGAGGATGTAAAAACCCTCAAAAGAGTTGAACTTCTGACCAATTTCATTTAGGTGTCTTGACTGCAGGCAAATCTACCCAAAGCCATAAGCAATGCTAAATGCCGCAGCCCACAAGGGTGCGAACCACACACTGGTCGTGGCAATGAGGACTTCGGGTGAACCGGGCAGAGGCAGAGGTGGAAGCTGCGTTGCAGGGAGGAGTGAACGGACCGGTGGAAAGAAAATGCAGGAGGGGCGGGCAGACTCACTCCCCAAAAAATGTGGTAAAGAGAAGGTCACAGAAAGACAGCTTAAAAGCAGAAGATAACAGAACAGCACTGTTAAGAGAAGACCTGAGCATGTCTATAGGGCAAAGAGAGGAACCACTTGAAAAGATTCAAGAGAAGAAACAATTTATTTGTTCCCACTGAATAAACAGTAACTAGCTGCTGCCTGTGCACCCTCCGCTGCACTCAGAACACTAGCTCCCCAGAAGCTCAATATCACAGACACGTGAGGGTCACTTGGGTGTAGTACAGTGTGAGAGAAGCAGTGACCCAGGGTGGCCCAAGGGCAGAGACAGGGCAGGAGAGGAAACAGTCACCCTTGTCCCTCTGCTTTAATTCGAACCTCTAGTCAGGGCAATCGGGTGCCCAGTGTGTCCTCATGGAGCTGATACAGCTGCACTCCTCGGGCAGAGGTGACACTGGCCATGGAGCCCCACTCTGTGGCATCTGCCCACACCTCGCCCTTTGCTCCATTGAGGGTGTTCTGGGGCCTTTCATCTGTGCGCATGGGCCGCGTCCTCCATCACGTAGAAGACCCCAAAGCTGGGCTCTGTCTACTCCTCCGTCCCATATCCCACACCGTCGCAGACTGGACTCAGCTTGGTTCTCTCCCCAGGGACAACTGGACAGGCAAGGAGCCCCCACCCTACCAACCCACGTTCTATGATGGTTGGCAGATTCCAGAACCTTTCAACCTGGTAAGGGGGAGCTTAGCACAGAGCCTCACTCAGAATCCTGGCCTCTGGCTACTTTCTGCCTTCTGCATCCAAACCACAGTCACACGGCACCTGGTGCCCAGACCTAGGTGGTAGGCAGGCAGGGGAGGGTCTGTGGCCTGATGCCAGCTCCCCACCCCCATGCCGGCTGGCCCCTGTCCCTGCTCACTCTGTTCTGCCCCACAGGCACCCTCGGAATACCAGGACTCCACTTCCTTCCAGTAAGCCTGGGCTCAGTCGGGACTGTGTGGTTGGGGGGGGGGCAGGGCAGGGGAGCCAGATTCGGCCGGCAGGCCTTGTGTTTGCCTCCTGTGCTCTAATCCCTCTTCCTGTGATGCGGCCCACACATGCCTCTGATCTCCCGGAGCTCAGAGGAGAGCTCAGATGCACAGCCGCTGGAAGAGTCTTCAGAAAGCAGCCACATTTCAGACTCTGGCTGCCTGCAAAAAACCCCAGCCAAAGCCCCGCCTCACGCTGACCTGCCGTCACCCTGTGGAACTCTAACAGTCACCCCCAGACCCCTGGTGGGGGCTTTCTGGGGCTGGGACACAGGCTCGGTTTCTCAGACCCATCCTCCAGCCGTCCTGACTCTGTCTCTGGGGGAGGGAGGGCAGTGTTAGGTCAGGGAGCACCTCGTAACTGGGCTCGAGAGGAGACACACAACCATGGCCCTCAGTCTGGGGACCCCAGCCTTGTGCCCTTCACCCCTAGACCTGTGGAGCAAGCCCTGAGAATGCAAGTCATACACGAGTTTGAAGCGAGGAAACCGAAAGAGCTGACAGTGGCCCAGGGAGAGGTGGTGGAGGTGAGGCGGGGGCTTTAGCCTAGAATAGGATGTGGTGGCTGGTGGGAGCTACAGGCAGCCTGGGGCAGGGCGGGTGGAGGGTGGGGCTGCTGGGGTGCGTGGCCTAGAGAGGGAGAGAGTGGGGGAGGGCCCTGGGGGGGAGGGGAGGCTGGCTAGACACAGGCTCCCGTGACTGAGAGTGACTCTTGGCAGGTTCTGGACCACAGCAAGCAGTGGTGGCTGGTGAAGAATAAGACAGGAGAGAGCGGCTACATCCCCAGCAATGTCCTGGAACCCCTAGAGTCAGAGGCCCCCAGGAGCCAGAGCCAGTCGCCCCCTTGGGTACTGCCTAGCCTAGACCACCCAGAAGCTCTAAGGCCTGAGTCGGGGTGGGGGCGGGGATTCCACAGTCGTGCAGGAGGAAGTCCGGTTTGGTTTCATATGTATTGTCACCTGCTTACTGCGTGCCCCTAAGCCTGGTCCTGGCCAGACGAGTGCACCATGGAGTGACCTGAGTAACCTGACAGCAGCCCACAGAAGGGACCCAGATGATGGAGCTGTGGGGGGCTCTGAGAGGGGATGGCCTCTGACCCCCATTCCCCCCTCACTCTAGACTCCAGCGCTTCGACTCAGCTCAAGGCCCGAGGAGGTCAGAGCCTGGCTGCAGGCAAAGAACTTCTCCACGTTGTGAGTCCTCAGCCCACAGGGCGGGAGGCTGTAAGGGTTCACACAGTAGCTCAGGGCCCCAGAGCAGGTAGCCTGACCTACCCGTACACGACACACAGCACACGACAGTCCCACAGGCACTGCCCTGCCTCGAGCTGCCGCTGCTGAGTTAGCAGAAGGGCTGAGTTCAAGCCCCCATCAGAGCACTGAGTGGGCAGCCCTGGCCATGGGGAAGGCAGCGGGACCCGGGGGGAATCGGGAAGAACCTCAGCTCACACACACACACACACACACACACACACACACACACACACCCGCCCACCACAGGATCCTCTCCTAGAACACTTCCCCCTGCTGCATGCTTGGGAACCCGGAACTCCCCCAGGAGTTCTGAAAATGGTTTAACCAAAATGTGTATCCCCCTCCCCCACCTTCAGATGCCCTATCCCCTGAATTCTCCCGTGACCCCAGCCTGCCAGCCCCAACAGCCCCTGCTCTACCCAGAGACTCAGGCCTGAGTCCTCTGGCCCCGCCACTGACCGCTCCTCTTTTTCTGTCCCCAGCACGGTGAAGACCCTGGGGTCCCTGACGGGGTCCCAGCTGCTTCGCTTAAGGCCGGGGGAGCTACAGATGCTGTGTCCACAGGAGGCCCCTCAGATCCTGGCGCAGCTGGAGGCTGTCAGGAGGGTGCTAGAGGTGAGGGTGCCCTGGGGTCCTGACTCCCAGTAAAAATTGGGGTGCTCCCTGGGAGACTGTGAGAACACCGGGTGGGCGAGCCAGCAGGCACAGCCCTGGGGTGGGACTGAGTGTGACCAGTCCTGGGCACAGGCCATTCGTCCCCCCAGGGGCCTGACTTTGGGCCTTCAGCCATGCCTGTAGGCTCACCAAGCTGAATGGCAGTGCTGGGGTCTCCTCCCCTGGCCCGGCCTCATCTCCATCCTTCTTCCCTCAGATAACCCCGTAGGTGCCAGCTCAGACGTCTCCAAGACCGAGGCCTTCTCACGGCAAGATGGAGGACGCCCTGAGAACTCCTCTTTCAGGTCCCCAGTTCGAAGCCAGCCCCACACCCCACTCCCACAGCAAGGAGGACAGGCAAGCCCTGAGGTCGGCCAAGTGACGTCCCCTCTGGCTGTGTCCGGAGCCCTCTCCAGTTGCCATCTATTTATTGTCTTTGTCCTAAGCCTGCAGCCCTCATGGCTAGATTCAGTAGGATTCTGTGTAGTCCGTCTCCTCCCCAATAAAAGCATCTTCATTGGCTGTGCCTCCCCTGCAGCTTCTTCTGGGCCGGATGGGGGCCAAAGGTGGGGAGGCAGGAGGAGCTGGCACACGGGGCGTGACCCAGCGGCAGCTCTCCGACCCTCACTGGCCCAGCCCGAATGTGAGTGGGCGTCCCCACTGCCCCCTGGGATAAAGAAGCAGGATTTAAGAACTGTGGCCCAGGCTCTGCTTACCTCCTTACTAAACAGACTCCCAGATGAAGGCTATGCTCACGCTCGTTGTCCCGCTGTGTACGTACATGTCTCCCAGTAGGCTGCCAAGCACGCAGCTGAACCGAGGGCACGACCCTTCACGGGAGCAGGCCACTGACCGTGGTAGGTTTTGGGCAGCCGCACTGGCTGATGGTCCGGAGACGCACTAATAGGCTTGTCAGGTGCTCTATTTGGCGACTTCCTCTTTTGATACAACTTCTGTCCCCTGCTGTTGGGTGAGCCAACCTTGAGCTTCCTCTCCAACTTGTCTCCAGTAACAGAGCAAAGGGAGCACTGGACTGGGAGTTCAGAGTCCACCAACTGGCTCGCCAGGCATTTTACTCTCCGGGTCCCTATTTTCTCAGAGGGTTAGTGAAGAAGAGTTCGGGGACTGCCTAGGGGGCCTGTCTGCGGCTTCTAGGACTCAGCATCCACAACCGTCTTGAATCTCCTTTCATGGAGCCCCCTCCCCACGTAACAGAGGTTATACTTTTCCTGATTCAGTCTACATATCAGGCCTGACATACTGGTGAATCCAGACCCCTTGGGGGTTCTTAAGATGTTCCCATAAGTATGTCTTTGCTGAACTTGTCCAGGGCCTTAACATTGCCCTGGTCCCAGATTACCCTACAACTACATCATTCCCCCAAGTTCCTGGCTTCAGAAAATCATCTCTCTTCTCCTTCACAGAAGAGAAAACAGGTGCCATCCTTAGGGTCTGATTGTCAAAGGCCAATTTTAATCAGAAAAGTTAGTTTCCTGGGATGGGCAGAGGAGATATTAACCCATCATCCTCTGGGCTTCCTGGTTACTTCCTGAAGTAACCCTCTAGGACCAGAAATAAAAGTGGTTTAGCCTGGTGCTTCCCAGATCGCTCAGCAAAGACTGAAATAAGGTGAGGGACTGAGTGCATGTCCAAGTTCAGCAGAACTAATGCAAGCTATGCTATTAGACCTAGCTTTGAACCCCAGGCTGCAGCTCCTGAGGACTTGAGAGCCTGGAATGGCTAGCTATCCAACTCCTCCAGGGGTCCCTTATTTCCTTCTGTAAAATGGGCAGAAAGTCTACTTCACAAAGTTGTGAAACTTCATTGGAATAAATTAGCTAAGATGTGTGAAATACCTAGATGATGGCCTGGTGTATCATGGGTGCTCAACCAAATGTTAGTCTTATGGGAGGGGGCAAAGGGGGAAAAATCGAGACAACCGTAGTAACATAAACAATAAAAAAAATTTAACATGCAAAAGAAATGTTAGTCTTCTACTTGAGGTTAATTTGTAGCTGGCCTTTTGCTATCTTGGGAGGAGAGACTGAGGCATTATTAATTTTTCAGTCCCTGTGCATTGTACTTTTCCCCCTTTCTTCTTTCTACTAAAATGTTCTTTTAAGCCCTGGCTGGTGTAGCTCAGTGGATTGAGCGAGGGCTGCAAACAGAGGGTTGCTGGTTAGATTCCCAGTCAGGGCACATGCCTGGATTGCGGGCCAGGTCCCCAGTGCAGGGGTGTGTGTGAGACATATTGATGTGTTGATATTTCTCTCCTTCTCCTTCTCTTCCCCTCTCTCTAAAAATTAACTTAAAAAAGCCCACACCCCAGCAAGAGGGGAAGGGGCTTCGGGTCCTGAGCGACCATGTTGTGTAGACCTGGGGGCCAGGAAGAACCTTGCGAGGAGGAACCTTGCGAGTAGCTCCGGCCTCCTGCCCCCCACCAAAAGCATGCACACCGAGGACAGCGATCCCTTGATGGTCACAGTCTGTGATTCCTCAGAGTCACAGTCTCACCCACCTTCCCCCGGCCCCCATCCCCCTACATAAATATTCATGGCGTGAATCTAACTTGCTCCAGGTCACCAAGGCCCTCAGTACTTGAGAGACAGGTGTTCTTCCCACCCCCACTGGCACCACTGACAGAGTAGCTCCCACCCACATACAGCGCAGAGTCCCACCCCCAGAACCCCCAGCGCGCCGCACCCTTCGCAAGTCCCCCCTCCCGGTCGCCAGGCCGGAAGCCCAGGCTCTACCCCCAGGGTCTACAGAAATGACGCCTGGCCTGCGCGTGCTCCTGTGGTCGTGCGTTAGGAGGCGGAGCAAGACGGTGGGGGCGGAGCGAGGGCTCTCACGTTGGCCCCGCCCCCTCACGTCAGGTATAAAGCCCCGCCTATTGGCACTCCCCTCTCCAGTCCCAGAAGGCACGGGAATAGTCTCACAATGTCTTCGTCCAAGTCCGCTGTGGTTCTGGGTTACTGGGATATTCGCGGGGTTAGTATCATGTCGACGGCCGAGCCACTGGATCAGGGAGACGGACACAGAGGCGGCTCGGGGCTCAGGGCCAGCCGTCTACAGAGAAGGAGCCAAGATACCCTGCGGAGTTTCCCGGGCTCAGGGGCCGGCCCTACCCCTCCTTTGAGATCTTGGGGCCCATTGAGAGGGGCTGAGTGAGGATCGCTAGCCACGGGGGGCCGCTCCCAGGGATGGCTTAACGACCAACTGGTCAAGGGTCTCGGCAGCCCCGGGGCGGGTTGGGGGTTGGGGTCTGTGGGAGCTGCGCAAGCGCTGACCGGGGTTATCCTCCCCAGCTGGCGCACGCCATCCGCATGCTCCTGGAGTTCACCGGTACAAACTACGAGGAGAAACGGTACACGTGCGGGGGAGGTAAGGCTGCTCTGGGTGCCAGTGGGCCGCCGAGCTCAGCCAAGCCGGCCCTCCAACAGTTCTTGTCTTTTGTGCCCGGAAGGTGGCATCACCGCAGAGTCCAGTGGGACTAGTGTCCCTGTCACCTGGAAGATCTCTGCTCTGTCCTGTGTTGGGAGAGGCTCATCCTTTATCTGGAGCTGAGATTCGCCCTCTGCCGTAGCCCAACCCCATCCTCACTTACCCAAACAGGCCCCAGGGACGACAGGGTTAAGCTTTGGGGGCCTGGGAACCTGAGCCCTCTGGACTAGGTTATTTCTTTAGATCTTTGCACTGCCCTCAGGGGGGGATCTTAAGGACGTTGGGTCCCACTCGATTCTCTCTTACAGCTCCTGACTATGATAGAAGCCAGTGGCTGGATGTGAAATTCAAGCTAGACCTGGACTTTCCTAATGTAGGTGGTTTAGCAAAAAAAGGGGGTTGGCGGTGAAGGGAAGGCTGTGAAGTGTATCCTTGCTTCTTCCCAGTCTGGTCTGGGGGGATCTAGAATAGAGCTTCTTCACCTGGATAGAATACATAGAATTCAGGGGTTCCTGAACTTGAGCAGAGAAAGAAATTACATTTTCATTTCCACTAACGACTAACTGAAAGTTAACAGTTCCTTCCATCATGAATATCAGCAGTAAGTGACACTGGCTATTAGCCATGTCTGTGACTGTCACTAGTGGAAATCAGGTATTTTTGTGTTGCATTGGATGTGTTATAGTTATTGTAATATACTCAGTTCATCATAGTTTGAAGTTGTGGTAGCTATTATACCTGCTTTTTAAAAAGGTTTTATTTAATTTTAGAGAGGGAAAGGGAGAGAGACAGGGAAACATCAGTGTGTGGTTGCCTCTCACACGCCCCCTACTGGGGACCTGGCCTGCAACCCAGGCATGTGCCCTGACTGGGGATTGGATCGTCAGCCTTTTGGTTCTCAGGCCCGAGTTCAATCCACTGAGCCACAGCAACCAGGGCTATACATGCGTTTTATTTACTTCACTGATAGCCACTGATTACAGTTACGATTTTGTTTAATATTTGTATAAATTGTGTAACATATGTAATTTGCCTTAAGCATTTAAAAACCTTATTCTGCCCTGGCTGGTGTGGCTCAGTGGATTGAGAGCATCAACCTTCGAACCAAAGGGTCACCAGTTTGATTCCCAGTTGGGGCACATGCCTGGGTTGCAGGCCAGACCCCCAGTGGGGGTCATATGAGAGGCAACCACACACTGATGCTTCTCTTCCTCTCTTTCTCCCTCCCTTCCCCTCTGTCTACAAAAATTACAAAATCTTAAAAACAATAAAATCCTCATTCTGCAAAAGGGTACATGGCATGCACACCCACAGACCCACAGAGATTAAGAACCCCCGTCTACATTCAGGTGGGGAGCCGGTCGCTACCTTCTACTTACTTCCTTCTTCCTCCTAACACAGCACCTTCTCTCTCCTGTGCACTTCCCTGCAAGTCCCACCTTCCCCAGCAGAGGGTCAGGCTGATCATTTGACCTGTCCTTTTCCTTCCAGCTGCCCTACCTCTTGGACGGTAAGAACAAGATCACCCAGAGCAATGCCATCTTGCGCTATATCGCCCGCAAGCACAATATGTGTGAGTGGGGTAGGGCCGGTGAGGGGGGCAGGGCTGCGTGCTCACCTGGGCGAGGACATGCCGAGAGTGATTTCTTGTTGTTCAACCTCCAGGTGGTGAGACCGAAGAAGAAAGGATCCGAGTGGACATCATGGAGAACCAGGTGATGGATTTCCGCCTGCAGCTGGTTCGCATCTGCTACAACTCTGACCATGTGAGTTTCCCTAGCGGGCAGGCGTCCAAGGTTGATTCTCCACGCTTCTGCTGCTGCCTTCCCACCAACCTGATCTGTCAGAATAGAACCGAACTCTTATTTTTATGGGGGGTTTGTTGGTTGTGTTTGTTTTGGGGGGGGTTGTGTTGACCCCTCTTCCCTTCCAAACCCCTCCTTTCCATGCTGCCACCTCTACCTGAAGGCAGTGAGAGGAAGGTACCTGGAGAAGGGTCACTCAGCGTCCATCGCAGGCCCGGGCCCTGGTTCCCCAGGAATGTGGCAGCTCTTCTGCTCTCTCCCAGGAAAAATTGAAGCCTCAGTACCTGGACCAGCTACCTGGACAACTGAAACAGTTCTCCTTGTTCCTGGGGAAGTTGTCATGGTTTGCAGGGGAAAAGGTAGGGAGAAAGGAAGGGGAAAGGGTACCTTTCTCCGTGCAGGTGCTCACACGCCCCAGACCTCACCGTCTCACTGTCCCTCCAGCTCACCTTTGTGGATTTCCTCGCCTATGATGTTTTGGATCAGAACCGCATGTTTGAACCCAAGTGCCTGGACGAATTTCCCAATCTGAAGGCTTTCATGTGCCGTTTTGAGGTAATGGATGCTCCCTGCAGCTTTCTCTTATGAAACACGGGCCCCCTGGGCCCGAAAGGGATCAGTGATTGGACATCTCCAAACCCTTAAGTCTTGGGAAGGGTCTGGCTTCTGGACCCAACAGGGGCTGTTCACAGGAAAGGGTGGGGAGGACTGGCAGCCCGTGAAGGCCGCTGGTGTGAAATGGGTCTGGGGGCTGCACTGGTCTTTATAAGGCGTGGTGTGCTTTCCCTTCAGGCTTTGGAGAAGATCGCTGCCTACATGCAGTCCGACCGCTTCTTCAAGATGCCCATCAACAACAAGATGGCCTCGTGGGGCAACAAGAGAGTGTGCTGAGCGCGCACTGACTCGCCCGGCGTCCGTGCCCTCCTGCTTGCAGGGGGGCCCCCACGCTTCCTTCTCTGCTCTTTTCAATAAATAGCACTTAGGCTGCTGGTGTCCTGCTGGATTTCTGTTGGGTGTAAAGGCTGGAGGAGGAGGAGGAGACGGAGATTTCCCAAGATGTGATCCAGTCCCTGGGACACTGACACCCTGACCCTCCAACGGTGTCCAGTGTCCAGGGGCCCTTGCCTAAGCCTGGAGGGCGGGCCCTAGAAATCAGGGTGGGACAGGACAGTTGTAGACGGCAGTGCGTCCGTCACAGCCCCTGTGAAGGCCCGGTGACGGTGTCCAGTAAAGCTGCGGCCGTGGCCATGGCAGGACGGAGTTCTGACACGCCGCCGCATCCGTGGGAGTCTAGTGTGATGCACAGTGTTTCAGGCTGACCGGTGCACACGGCTGGGACCGCTACTCAGCGATAAAAAACGCTGGGGCCCCACCTCACACCACTCACCTCCATTAAGGCACCTGGAATTTAAGGCCCAACGTTAAACACCCCTTAGGGAAGTGTTGAGAGTGGAGGGGTGTTTGTGACCAGAGGGTGAGAGAAGTTTCGGTAAGACGGAAAAGCTGGAAGAGTGTCGGATCTGTGACACCACCTACAATCGTGCGCAGGTAAACACAAATACCAAGAGAGTCAAAAAGGACGGGTCTGAAGGCCAGAGAAAGGACTCCTGTGAAGTGTTGAGACAAAGTTTTTAAAAATGGACAAAGATCTATGAACAAATAATGTATGGGAATAGGGATAGTAATGGCCCCCTAAAAAGTTAAAGAGATGTTTTTAATCCAAGGAACTTTGAATTACAAGAGACTATTCTTCAGGTGAACAAAATTTAAAAGTTTACAAAGATTGGCAGCATTTGGGAAAGCGACGGGCATTTCCTTGTGGGCAGCTCACATGTTGGTATAACCACCTCGGAGAACAATTTGTCAGTATCTTCTAAAAAGTCAAGTTAGGTCCTGTGACCCAGTAATTCCATTGTATTAAACACACACACCTAAAGTTCCGCTAAGATTGTAGGTGGTTTATAGTAACAAAAGTGGAATTCGAATACTTGCCCATCAATAGGATGGGGTACCAGATGGCAATGCAAGATAAATTGAACTCTCAGCTAACATGGAAGATCCCCAAGACACTGATTTTTTAAAATTACATTGCAGATTAGGACATACAATGCAAAACGGTGTTTTAAGAAGGGAAACCTCGAGGTAAGGGTTTTCTGTGGGTACGTTTGTGCGTGAGATGCAGGGAACTGGGTCTGACCCACCAGCCAGGCTCCAGGGAGGAGGCCAAAGGACACCAAGGCCGCAGACTTTCATTCAGCTGGGGGCGTGCGCCTTCCCGGGTTACTTTTACTTTGTAACGGGAACCGGTTTAAGAAAGGAAAGCAAACGGAAGGGAAGCTGACTCCCTAGGAGGCTTCACTGGCTCTGCTCCAGGTGCAGAGCGAAGTCTTTGAGTAAAGGGCCAGACTGCCATCCCCCGTGACCCAGAGCCAAGGCTCTCTCTGGGGAGGGAGGAATGAGGGCTGAGCAGCCAGGGGACCCGGTGACATCAGGAGGGCCGCCTCGGGAGGGGCCAGTACAGACAGAAGGCAGGAAGCAGTTCAACTCCCCACCTTTTGCCACCAGCAAGAGGTGTGAGGCGGGAGTTTCCCTGTCATCTGATGACTGTTGAGGTGAATTTCCCCAGTGTGAGCCAGTGATGCATGCCTTAAGGGAAGGCCTTGTAAACTGGGGGAGGGCGGGAATGGGGGTCAGCAGAGAGGATGCGCCCGGGAATCTGAAAGGGAATGTATTACTTACTGCTATGTAACGGTATCCCCACTACTCTAGCAACGTGAACCCACACACATTATCATCTCACGGTGTCTGTGGGTTAGGAGTCAGTGCACAGCTGCACAGGGTTCCCGGCTTCGGGGTCTCACCTGAAAGCTGAGGTCAGCGCATCAGCCAGGGCTCTGGTCTCATCTCAAGACTCCACTGGGGAGGGGTCGGTTTTCCGAGTTCACGGGATTGTCAGTAGAACTCAGGTCCTCGACCTTCTGGGCAGGGCGCTTCAGGTTCCTGCTGGCTGTCAGTTGACGGCCACCCTCGTTTCTTGCAATTGGCACCTCTCGGAGGGTCTCCCAGGAAGACACTACAACCCTGAAAGATGGAATGGGAACGACTGCTCATCACCTTTGCTGTTTTCCATCAGAAGCAAATCCCTGGTCCTGCTCACCCACAAGGGAGAGAGAGGGCTTCACAGGGGCCTGAGTACCGGAAGGTGGGCTTCCGGGGGTGCTATCGACACAGAGAAGAAGGCACCAAAACACGAAATCGGCCCCGCAGTCCTCTGGGGCAAGGATCTGGGAAAGAGCAACGTGGCAACTGGAAGGGAGAGGTTTAAAAGGCGTACGTGCAGGTGAAGTGGATAGCACGTAAATCTCAGCTAGAAAGAAACAAATCACATGCCCCAAGTTTTTCTAGTTATTACATTTGTGAGCGAAAACCCACTCGGTGACAATAGTATACTAGTGTTGTATTTGTACAAACAGTATCAATGAGAGCTTAAAAAAAAACAACTTGCGATAGAAGCGATAGAAGCAGCTCCCTAAAAAGTATTAGAGATACTCATTTGTATTCATTGTTGCAGGTCAAGCAACCCGGTTAAGGTATTTCCGGTTCAGAAGGCCCTGGACTCCAGAAAAGTTGTTGTAACATTATTTCACGGAGGGGATGGGGGGTGGGGACTGTTGACATGCGCGGCCGTGGGTCTGCCTCTGGAGCCAGCTGAGGGCTCCAACACCCGGCACCTGGACTTCGAACAGAAATGGCATGTGGCTTGTCCCTCGGCAGCAGGACAGGGTTGAATGGTGAGCCACACAGATAAAAAGGAGTTTGGGGAGGGTCCCGAGATGAGCAAAGGACTCCTTGGCTAGAGAGTGGCATTGTGTGAGACTGTGGCCTGGCTTAGGCCTTAGCGAAATTTTTTTTTCTGGAATCCAACAGGCTAGGCTCTCTGGGATTTTCAATGAAAATATTTACAGGTGATTCACACTGTGAGACTTAAATTCAGAACAAAAGATTAAACAGTTGTGTGTGTATTTGAATTTCAAGTGGGTAGGTGCAGCTGTGTGGGCCCACACGGAACCAGGGGGCCAGCCTGAGGCTATTGGGAGGAAGTGTTTCCCATGGTGCAAAGGAACAGAAATCCATCGAACGGGATCATGTTCATGTCGTGTTACAAGTCTGAGGAAGCCCTGGCTGGTGTAGCTCAGTGGATTGAGCGTGGGCTGCAAACCAAAGGGTCACCAGTTTGATTCCTAGTCAGGGCACGTGCCTGGGTTGCGGGCCAGGTCCCCATTGAGGGCAACATAAGAGGCAACCACACACTGACGTTTCTCTCTCTCTTTCTCCCTCCTTCCCCTCTCTCTAAAAATAAATAAATAAAATATATTTTTTTAAAGTCTGAGGAAAATTAGGAGATGTCTGTATTTTATTTCCTACACTGGAGTGTTTCCATTGTATTAACAGAATTAACAGAGAGTCTTTTGAACTGTGACTGAAACCCGATCTGCTGCCTTCCAATGTTTGTTTCAAGTGGAAAGAGCCCCAGGAAAAGGTGGGGGCTTTCCCTGACAGGGCTCTGCCTTACTGGGGGATTGTCCAGGCTACCCGCAAAGTGCAGCCCCATAGGAGGAGCCAGAACTGGTTCCGCAGGAACGTGACAATTAGCATGGCCCGGTTCCTCTGAGTCTCTGCTTCCATGTCTTGAGTCTCCTTGTGGCAGCAGGCAGGTGCCTCTGTGTCTGTCAGCAATAAAGGTTTCACTCGCCGTGTCAAGGGAGTTAGGAAAACACAGGCTAACACAGCAGGACGACGGTAAACCTGAAAGTGGGGTCACCAGGGGGACGGTGACCAGAGCCGATCCAGAGGCTGGCTGATAGGGATAAAAATAAAAGCCTTACGTCAAGACATCTCTGCTAGATCATCTCGCCAACGGAGGGCATCCCACGAGCCCCGCGAGCAATGCAGCACAGGTTACGAGCTTCCTGATGCATCACGGAGCTCACCTGACCTCCCCTTTCCCGACTCCCACTCCCTTACCGCTTCCCATAGGGTGACCTTGAGGGCGTCAGGGACATCACGCTTCAGTCTGTGGTTTTCAGAATACCGATCTGAATGTCGCCCAGAGACTCCCAAACTTGGAAGCTGGCTCAGGAGCTGACGATTCTTCAGTTTGTTCCTACTTGGGGCAAAGGAGGGCGGATGTGGTTCTGTTGGGGTGGGCTTGGCTGCGTTGTGTTAGGGGGGAGCCATGTCTGGTGGTGGCTGTCATGGCAATTGTCTGGAAGAGCTCCCGTTGAAAAGAACCCATCTCAGGTGGGCATCTCTCCTCTGCATCTTTGAAATGTGCTTCGGACAGGTGGGGGATTTTGCTTTAAGTCTGCAAGGTACAAGACTGCTTAGCTGGGTCTCAGCATTCACCTCCCCATCTTCTCGCTGTCCCTGAGACTCCATTTCTGCTGTGCATGTTATTGCCCAGGAAAAAGATGTCATTTCCGGTCTGATTAAGCTCTAGCCACTGAGATACAAGTAGAAATGCTCTAGGTTACTTCCAGGAAGTTTCCTTAAGAAGGGAAGAACAGCCCCCATTCCTCTTTCGGCCTCCTGCTGTTTGACATGCAGAGGTGAAGGGGCTCCAGCAGCCACTTTGTGCTATGAGGTGTCAGAGGAGGGAGCCCTCACACTGAGGGTGAGGGAGCAGAAAGTTAAAAAGCTGCGTCCTTGAGGCTACCATGAAGCTGACATTACTGGTGCTTCACTGTCCCCTTCTAGATCTTTCCTTACAGGAGAAATAAGCTTCTGTTCTATTAAGCCACTGTTATTTCTTAGTCATACCTACCAGGTCTTAATCCTCACTAATTTGTTTGCTCTTCCAGCCTCCCTGTGGCTCAGGTGCAGGCCGGGGACCCAGGCTTGGGTGCAAGACTTCAGTCTTAACAAAGCAGGCCCTGAGGATTTGTTTTCTGGCAGGGCCAGGATATGGGAGGCAGCTGCGGTGAGACACTCACACCCAGTTCCCTATGCCAGGGACAGGACCTGGGGCGCCTGCGCCCAGCCATGGCCGTGCGGTGTTCTCTAGAACAATCCCACTTGTGGTTAGGCTCACTCCCTGGTGGCCCAGCCTCCAGGGCCAACTCCCTGGCCTCCCACGGACTCCGTGGGCTACCTGATACCTGTAATAAATCCCTTCCCTGTCCCAGCAGCGAGAGGGAGTGAACTATAAGTGAGATGCCACTCCTACTGTGGGTATGTGAAAATAAGACCTTATCTTTAATGCCTTAGCCTCTCTCCTCCCTGCTTCAAACCGCTGACTTAACCCCATGGTTTCCTATGGACTGGGGCTTAACTTTTCTCCCCACTTTTCCACATGTGGGAGCAACTGCCCTGGACCACCCAAATCCTCCCTTCAGAAATAGGGGTGTACGTACCCCTGTGACTAGGTAGAGCCGCACATCTGAACTCACAAACAGAAGGTAAACTTCTGTGACATATACACCTTCAGCCGCATTTGCATAGTGGGAACTTGTTTCCTTGGGTTTTCTGTGTTTTTCTTCCCCATACTCATGATACAGCTTCAACCAGGAGGTGAGGAAGGACCCCAGGGCGGGTCAGAGCCACAAGAGGGAAAGAGGTGGAGTCGCTGAATGAGTCCGTGGAGCAGGGCTGCCCCACCAGCCTGGACTGTTCCCCACAGAACAGGACAGAAGAACAAACTCCAATTTTCTATAAGCTGCCATCTCCGGGTCTCTATCAGCTTTGCCTTCCTCTGCTAATACAATGACAGTGGAGGGATGCGGGGCAGGGAACTTGTAATTGACAGCCGGTGCTGACAGACCCACCGGGAGACACCAGTGCCTCGGGTTCACACTCTGGGTGGGGAAGAAGTGTCCTGAGCGCTGCCGGCTGAGCACTATGATGGGGCGCCGGGGAGCCCCAGGCTGGATGCGCCACAGTCAGAGGGTCGTTTTGGTGGCCCCAGGGGCAAGGACATACATCCTACTGCTTCTGCCCGACTTTCAAATGTAATTTTTTAGCCTTTATGACTTTGACCACAGTGTTTAGAAAATTGTTTTCATTTGCTGCTGTCTTTGTTACCACATCTTACCTCCTTTTAAAGATGGTGTTCTGTTCTTTTTCTCTTTGATTATCACTGATTACACTTTACAGTGAATATGTAGGCTTTTACTATAGCTATGCCCTTCTAAGCTGAGCTTCTCCATCAGGAGTCGGGAAAGGGCCATCTGTTTTTGAGGTTCTGCCAGGACAGATCCCACCCATTCATTTCCGTATTGCCTCGGCAGCTTTCCCACGACCAGGGTGGGTGAGTGGATGACAGAGACCACAGGACCCGAAAAGCCAGAAATATTCAGCGTCTGGGCCCCTGCAGAACACCTGTGCCAGCCCCTGTTCTGGGCCCGCATCTGTGTGACTGATTTCACATTTGCATCCTCTCTGTTTATCGTTAATCACAGCGCCACTCCTGGTTTCCATGGTTTCTTTCTTATTCTTATCCCTCCTATCCTTAAGTTAATATTTAATAAGCTTTGGCTCAACAAACCTTTATCTTACCAGTTTCATAAACTTTGATTAGTCTTGCTGAACTTTTATCAGTTTTATCTTTTTACACTAATCACTATTTGTCAGTGACTTTGAACATGACCCCCATGGCTCCCTTTTCATTTAACAACTACAAGGGAGTACAGTTGCAGGCACAGACCCCCTGGGCACCTGCCCCACAAGACTCCTCTCCGAATCTTCTCCTTGGGCAGCTGGGGCTCCAGACCTCACTAGGGCCCCGCACCCCCGCCCGGCCACTCTCTGAGGCACGTGCTGGTCAGACGGCTCTCACGCGTCCTGCACACGCCTCTGCAGGTGCCCTGGCACCCAGTGCCCACACGCCTCCTGACCACCCAGATCAGCTGGCCGCTGGCCCCGCATGATGCTGGGCCTGCCCAGGTCAGGTCAAGTGATTCAAAGAGCAGCTAAAGCCCCTGAAATACTGTAGTGAGAAAGAGCTAATGGCTCCTTCTCCCAGACCTATGCCTTCCAAACCGTCGGAGCTCTGCTTCGTGTCTCCGGCGGCTGAGAGGAAGTGTGTCCAGAGCTCCAGGTCCCTAGAGTGGCTGCAGAGGGGGCTGGGGTCATACTTAGAGGAAACTCGGATCTCAGACCATTTGTGAACACATGATCAAGCAGCGTGACAGAAATCAGACATAAAAAGTCCACCAGGATGTGGTTCGCTCCTCAATGAATCCCGGATTGGAATGGAGGAGAAAACAAGGAGAAACGACAATAATGACACAGTGGGTTGTGTTTTATTGAGATGTGTTATCTGAGCACAGAGGAGGGGTATCTGCTGCAGGAAGCGCTTCGGGGAAAGGGTGACGGGACGTGGCCACTAGGACCCCACACCAGCAGTGGACGGCTCAGCATGCCCCCTGCCCCACAAACCCTCTGAACCTTGGCACAAACTACCAGCTTATAGGGGCCCTCCACCAATGCTGAAGTCACAGAGGGACGGAAGCCCAGGAGGCCCCCTTCTGTAGGTGCACCACACTGAGGCACACACGCGTGAACAAAGATAGAAACGAGCGAGAAACCCTATACTGCCACCTGTCCCTCTTCCTGCCACCACCCACACACACGTCCCCACCACACGGCCGTCCCAGACGACTGAGGGAAAAGGGACAGCCTACCGAACTCCAACCCAGTCAGTCCTGGGTCCAGTGTCGAGGGAATAAGGCAACCAGGTGTGATTCGGCTTCACGGGGGACCAGGCAGGGTAGGGAGGGACGAAGCTGGGGACGCAGGGCCTGTACCCTGGCAATACAGGACTTCGGGGCTGTGCTGGGGTCTCCGGCTGAGCTCTGCAGGCTGGGGGCTGGTAGGGCTCCTAAAACCAGAGCAACCAGTGGGAAGGGAGGTCAGTCTCGTTGGTCTTAACGCAGAAGGCAAGGGAAACTGCAGGTTTGAGAGCCTGGATGAGAGGGGCCACTAAGGCAGCTGGAGGTGGAAGGGGCGAGGGAAAGAGGTTGAAAGGAGAAAAGGAAACAGAGCAGGTGGTTCTACGTTGCAGAATCTCCAGGTGTGCCCCTCGCTCCCACCTGCTGCACTCACAGGCCCTACTTGTTGCTCCACATGGCAGCCTTGGAGTACACAGGGGTCGGGACGTAGCGGCTGGACTTCATGTAGGCAGAGATCTTCTTCAGGCCCTGAGGGAGGGAAAGGGAGGCCAGGCATCAGGGGCTGCTGCTCCGCCCACCCTGGGCTCCCCCAGCCCCACTGCAGGCACTGAGGGGTCAGGGACCTGGCAGGACCTCCACCTGGGGTCAGCTGCTGGGGCACATGACAGCCTTCATGGGGTCCACAGCTCTCCCCAGCTAACTCCCCAGTTTTCCATAACTGATGTGACCCCTCAGTCAGGGGACCACACACGAGGGTCTGGGCTAGGCCAGGTGCATTATAACCACTAGAGATCATGGCCCATGTTTACAGCCTGCACACACTTCCCCACAAGGTAAGTTCTGCCATCACCCTTTATGGGAAGCAAACCGAGGCTTACACAACTACACTCAGCACCTTCCTCAGGCCACACTGCCAGAGACTGGGAAGGGCTGGAGGCACCCAGGTCTAACTCCTGCCCTTTCTGCCCCACTCCCCTCCTCCCTCCCACACAGGAGGCCTTGACCTTCCCAGTCTGCACAGTCTCCCTTTGCAGAGGGAGCCTCTGGCCTCCCAGGGGCCGCCCAAGGAGGGGCTGCAGGGAGAACAAAGGGCTCAGAATGTGCCTGTGCAGCTTGCACAGGAAGCCAGACCTCCCCAGTGACTCAGCAAAACAGGGATGAAAGCTGATAGGAGGAAGTGAAAGCTGAAGGAATTCCAGCCTGACCCTAACCATGCCAAGGAGAAAGTCTAGCTGGCTGGACGTCCTGGCACCTGAGCCCACTCTCACTGCACCGTGGTGACCTACCTCACCCCCGTCCTGCTGCAGCCAACCAGGCCTGAGACACTCAGTGTGTGAGCACCATCTTCCCAAGACATAGGGTGCCCAGGACATTCCACAGGACTCTAAGGTCCTGGGAACCCCTGTAACTAGGCCTGGGCCCAGCAGGTGGCAGCCTGCAGCCCACAGCTGTCCCTGAGGCCTCCCAGCTGGTCACACATCCCAGCTCTTGCCTCAAGTCCAAGGCTGATCCCCCTGGACCAGAACCAGAGCTCACAGAACTAGCTGACTAAGTAGGTCTCTTGATGGCAGTGGGAAAGGGCACAGACCATAAGCTGAAAACCTTGAGGGCTAACGATGCCTCCAACTCCCTCATCAGTGACAAAGCAGACTCGGCTGACCCTCTGTGAGGTGGCTGAGGGTGATGAGTGATGAGCTGGGAGGGGAGGAACAGGCTGTGCACCTCCAGTGCCCCAGTGGGACCCCAGGTCTGCACAGCAGGGGACCTCCTGTACCTCTCCAGCTGCAGGGAGACCCTCCTTGGGAGCCCCTGGGCTGGGCTACCTTTGCACCCCCTCTGTGCCTGACGCCAGGGCTCAAAGAGAAGGGCAGATCAGTGAATACAACCCATGGGGGAAAAAAAGAGAGGTCATCAATCATCCACCCAGAGGAACGCAGTGTGCACACAATGCCCCGCACGGATCCGGGCCCACAGCCAGTTCTCAGAGAGCGCTACTTAGGCTTCTCATGAGCTCCAGGACAAGGGAAGCTTCAGGAATGAGACAGAAGACCAAAGGGGTTAAACTGAGAGACCAGTGGAATCACCTCTATGCGGGTAAGGAACTCCTTCAGGTTCGGGAACGCATCCAGGCACTTGGGCTCGAACATGCGCAGTATGTCAAGGATGTCATATGCCAGGAAATCCACATAGGTGAGCTGCAGACATGATGGAAGGAACTGGTGCCCAACTCTGAACCTGGGAATACATCAGCTCCCCCTCCCAAAGCCGTCCCCTTACCTTGTCCCCGGCAAACCAAGACCTCTTCCCCAGAAACTGAGAGAAGAGCTTCATCTTCTCAGGAAGCACTTTCAAAAACTCAAGCTTCAGTTTCTCCTGAGGCACAAAACAGCCGTCACCACCCTCAGACACAGACCCCAGGGCCTGGGCCAACACAGGCCTCTCAGCCCCAGCCACTAAGTGATGAGCAGCCTTGTCCCCCAAATGAACCTGGGTCAGTGCCCAGGTTACAATGTAATCCAGCTGTGTTCACAACACACCTACTGGGTGTGGCCGCCCATGGGGGAGGGGGTGCCGGGGTGGGGCAGGCGGTGGGGAAGGCAGAGGACACCACACTGTCCCTGACATCTCCAAACACGCTCCCTCGGCTCAGACCCAGGAGCTTGTGGGAACCTAGCAGAGCTCAGGACTCAAGCAGAATGAAAGATGCAAAGAACCAAAATGTCCTAGGGGAAGAAGTGAGGAGTCCCAGCTGGTGGGGGACGCCATGGACACCTGAGCACTGTCTGGACAGATGGGGAGAACTTGAGAGGCTGGGAGGAAGGAGGGAGAGGCACAGAGGCCCTGTGGGTGCCCCCCACGCTGCCTCCCACAGGGGCCTGTGCTGACGATGCCTGTGGGTGCCAGGGAGGGGGCCGGGATGAGGAGCTGAACACACTTTTGGGAACGGAAGTTGCACCCTGGGGAGTCTGGACTCTATTCTAAGGTATCTCTAAGTCAGAGATTTCATTTCAGACACTTGGGGGTGTGTGGGTCTCTCTGCTGATAGTACAGGGACCAGTGTGGAGCATCACAAGGTCCAAGTCCACAAGGCAAACAGGGTAAGCACAGAAAGAACACAAGTGCAGTCCCCTCTCAAAACCTATCCAACCAGCCCTGCAAGAGGCCACTCACAAAGTCAGGACTGTAGCAGATTCTGATGTTGTACATTCGGAGGTCCATGACCTCATTCTCCAAAATGTCCACGCGAATCTTCTCCTCCTCTGTCTCACCACCTACAGCCACACAACAGAGGCTCTGCCTCAGCATCCCACCCCAGCCAGCCCTGGGGCACGGCCACTAGTCCCCTGGTACCAGTCCCCAGCCACACTCACAGAGGTTGTGCTTGCGAGCGATGTAGCGAAGGATGGCGTTGCTCTGGGTGAGCCTGTGAGCCCCGTCAATTAAGTAGGGCAGCTGGAAGGGCAACAGGGGCAGGTCAGTGGGCCACAGGCTGCCCTGAGCCCCCTTTCTGCCTCTGGGGCACACATGGACCTGGCCCCACCATGTGTGGCCCATGGCAGGCACTGAGCAAATGTAGCAGAAAGCATGAGCTGGAACCCAGGGCATCAGAGGACAGCAGTGAGGGGACCAGGGAGTCGGGAGGATGCACAGAGGCCCCAGATTGCCAAACCTGTGGAAGCTGGGAAAGGAGACCTGAGCAGAGACGGGGTCACTCATGCCCACTGGCCCCTTCCCTTGCACCTACATTGGGGAAGTCCAGGCCCAGCGTGAATTTCTCATTCAGCCACTGGCTTCTGTCAAAGTCGGGAGCTGTGGTGGAGAAGATGCAATGAAGGAAACTTCCCCCTGAGGACCACCCTCTTCCCCGGGTGCCGGGCCCCTAAAAAGGTGAGTCTGCAATCTGAACACCAGGTGTCTCACCCACGTGGGGGGGAAACAAGGCCAGAGCTCTCAGCCACCCACAAGGATAAGGCTTCCATAAAGTGCAGAGGAGCCCAAGGGGAGCCACCAGTCACTGACACAGGGGCCCAGCTGTCCCTTCTGCTGTGCTGCATGGAAGCCCCAAGTCCACCCTCAGGCAGTGGAGGTGGCAGAGGTGAGCCACAGGTGGCCTGGCCACGGGTGTCTGGTACCCAATCAGCAGCAGGAGTGGGGCGAGAGTCAGAACGAGACAGGGATGCTCTTACCGTCTCCCATCGTGTACCTCTTCTCCTGGTAGTTGGAGTCCGTGTATTCCAGCAGCAAGCGGATGGGGTGAGCCAGCTGCAAGGGACGGCCGGACCGCGGTCAGGGTTCCAGGGAGGGACCTCGGGACCTGCTCTGCTACGGGAACCCCTCCCCCCGCACACAGACCCCCCCCTCCCAACCCACAGTTGCCCACAAGCCCGCTGAATGATATGAACAGGGCCAGGTGGGCTCGCCCTGGCCAGCCCTGAGCCAGACCCCGGCTCCGTGGCTTCTCCGCGCGATCCGGCCGGATCTCACCCGCACGCCCCACTCAGCCCTCGCTCACCCCGCGGACGTCCCAGTAACCCAGAGTCATGGCCATGGTGCCGGTTATCGCGCTGTGAGTGGTCGGGCTTCTTTCAGGCTGAGCTGGAAACTGCCGACTGTCCCTGAAGCTTGGTCGCGCGGGACCCAAGACGCACACGGCTTCTACTTTCCGCCCCTCGTCCCGCCCCTAAGCCCGCCCACTCCCCACCCCGGAGACCCGTGATGAGCGGCCGCTCCCACCGGAGCCAGGGAGAGCGGTCGCTGCCCGGAACCAGGCCTGGGTCCTGGGGAACGCAGTCTGGGCGCCAGGACGCCAAAGATCGAAGGTCCGGGCTCGGGTGCCTCAGGTTCTACACGGCTCCCCAGCGCAGCCCCCCAGTGCAGCCCACCTGGTTCAGACCGCCACTGGCTCAGAGGGAGGGACAGCGCCGGTGGGAGACCCAGCTGACAAATCTGAACTGCAAACAGCAAGTCTCCACTTGCTTCCCTCCCCCTCTAGGCACCGCGGCCTGGGCCACAGAGTTCCGAACGCCTCGGGGAGGCTCAAACTGCCACGTTAAAGCCAAAGATGGGCGGGCCCTTCAAAGCTAGAGTGTCCCTCAGTGCCTGTCAAGGGAAGCCCGCCAGCCTGAAAGCTCCTCCAGGACCTGGACATGCCTGATGCCTCCTGCCTCCCAGCCCCCACCAGCAGGGGGACGGGGACTCCCAGGGCCACAGCAGAGACAGGGAGCCAGGGTCTCAGGGTTTCCATTTCTGTGTTTGGAGGACCCAGCTCCTAAGTCATGTGACTAAGTGATGAGAATCAAATGCAAAGTAATCAATTAGGTTTATGCATGAAGTTGCTGACTAAAATCCGGCACCAGCTCCCAGAAAGAGACAGGTATGGAGGCGCAGTCCCTACACGCCCTGCCAGCCAGGTGCCTGCTAGATGTCCCCAGTGCTGACCAATACTGACCAGAGCAGGATGGCAGCATGCTGGTCACACAGGCAGGTGAGGGAAGAGGGGGAGCTATGTGTGCCCTGAGGGGCCAGGCTCCTGTGCTGCTGCCAGGGCACCACGTGGGGGGTGGCCAGCAGGAGCCAAGGACACCTCACAGGACCACTGCAGTGTGACCCTGCAGGCCCTGCTGTCCAGGTCCCCGGGGGGCCACCCTGACCCTGGCTCCTGACCCCTGTGTTTGTGGTATGAGACAGTGGCTCTGGTTGCCTGTGAAGTTCTTCTGTGACCTGTGACCTGTGGTACAGGCCCTATAAGAATACCTCCTACCTGCCAACTTCCACATTGGAGGCAGAACATCAAAGGAAAACTAAGAGAACAGGAGCATTTGGGCTGGGATTGTTTTCCATTTTTTAAAGGATATTAGAGGCTCAGTGCTTCTGTGAAAACAGATGACGGGAACTCTGAAAGAACAGATGTGCTCACAAGCTGGAGGGCCATGGTAGCTGGCAGGGAGGAGGCCGGAGCACTCGGGCCCCTGGCCACTCACAGACTCAGAGGGCTGTCCACAGGGGCCACCTGGAATCAGTCCTGCCCTGGGTTGGCTGCTGCGGGCACCAGGTGGAGGATCGGGGTGGAGACGATGAGACCTGGGCAGAGAAGGGGTGGATGGCCAGGCAGCCTGGTCCTCCAGGGCCCACAGGTGGTATGCTTCTGCCTGTCAGATCGCAGGCCCCTCCCATCTCTGAGCCCTGGGTGGGGCATGTGAGCCTGCCTCTCCTGTGCAGAGCCTCAGACCCCACAGAACACGTGAGTAATGAAACCTGCACATCAGTACATATGTAGACGTGATAGGCAGTAAAGCACTCACATGTCACATGTGCCACTCTGTGGCTTTTGACATAGGATGCTCTTCTGGGTCACCCCCCAGAGTGGAACAGAGGACATTGCCACCTGCTCAAGGTCCCACCAACGAGCAACCCCGCACACACAGGGGCTCCGTCCGCTGACCCCCATCACCTTGGATTCCTCTGGCGGGTTGGCTTACAGGCAGATACAGCTACGAAGCATGCATTTCGCATCTGCATCCTTTTGCCAACACGGCGTCAGTGAGAGTCGTCCCAGTTGCTGCGTTCACAGTGGGGCATTTATTCCAGTACAGTACTGTGTATTCCCAGTCACACAGGATTCCATCACAGGGACAATGGAGTCGAACTGATAAACCAGGATGATTTGTTTGTTCTTCCATCGAGAGGCATTTGGGCTATTGCCAATTGTTGGCTACTTCAAATAAAGCTGCGCAGGGTACTGTACTTGCCCCTGGAAGACACAGGCACTGCAGCCTGTTGAACTTGAACATGATGCAGGATTCCAGGGCACAGGCTCCACATACGTTACATGCCAGTAGGTACTGCTGGTGTCCAAGTGGTTGTGTCCCCAGCCATGAATGGCACTTCCGGTAACTTCATAAATTCACCCATTGTCAAGCCTTTCATTTTTTAAAGATTGTATTTATGTGTTTTTAGAGAGCGGGATGGAAGGAGAAAGAGAGGCAGAGAAACATCACCTGGCCGCCTCTCCCATGCACCTTAACCAGGAACCTGGCTTCACCCCAGGCATGTGCCCTGGCTGGGAATCGCAACCTTTGATTCAGGGGCTCATGCTTAACCACATGAGTGACACCAGTCAGGACCAATTGTCCATCCTTTTAACTTTAGCCTGTGTGACTAAGTAATAGGGTAAAACTGCGCTTGTAACTTCTCTACTACATGATGACGTTCCACAGAGTTTCATACGCTTCGGGGCCGTCTGCATGTTATCTCTTGGGAACCACCTGTTCAGGACTGGGACCTGTGCTCATGGGGTGGGATTTTGGGTAACAGTCATTCTTGGGCAAGAGGCCTTTGATGATTTGCAATATTTTCTCCAGCTGAGCCTGCCCAAACCCAGACTCACAAAATCAGGAGCTCCTCATAGCAGCACCAACTGGGAAGCCCTGAGCTAAAGGAAACCCTTCGCCAGCAGCACAATTTACAACATGGTTAAAATCACTCCCCAAACCTGCAATGCTGACGGTGACCGTGGAGGAAACCCAGGCTTAGATATTTACGGAAGGGTGTGACCTGGAGGATATCCCTGAGCTCTCCACCCAGGACCTGGCAGCTCAGAATGACAAGAACCTGAAAGCATCTTAAGTTTAAAACAATGTGATGCAAGCTTTTGGTCCAACATCTGCTCAGGTAGCAGCAAGAGCAGGTGCTCCTCAAGTCTCACTATATCTCCCAAGGACACCAAGAAGAAGAAAGATGCTGGAGGGTCAGCCAGGAAAGACAAAGACCCAGTGAACAAATCTGGGGGCAAGGCCAACAAGAAGCGATCCGCAGGCAAAGCTGGGTGGGGACAAGCTCAGTAACCCAGGCCTGTGTGAAAGAGCAACACATGATCACTCCGTAAGGAGCTCCCAGCTGCAAGCTTCTAACCCCAGCTGTTGTCTCTGAGCCACTGAGGATCCGTGCTTCCTGGGCCAGGGCAGCCCTTCAGGGGCTACATAGTGAAGGACTCAGGAAGCTGGTTTAGATGCACAGAGCTCAAGTCATTCACACCAGACACCCCAAGGCTGGGGGTGCCCCAGAGGTTGGCAAAGATGCAGGAGCAACAGGAACCACCAGGTGTACATTTTGAAAAATAAAACTTTATTAAATCAGAAAAGAAAAAGAGATTCAAGTGATTCAAATCACACTTGTATCGCCTTTTCCGTCAGCAGTGCAGGATTCCAGAGGCTGAGCAATTCCATTGGCGGCCTGAAGGTCTTCACTCTAGACTTCTATACCCGACCAAACTATCAGTTCGCTGCACACCAGGACAGACGGTTTTCAGAGTTGCAAGGACTAAAGAAATTCCTCTCACGGCACCTGTGACAATGAGGGAGCAAACTCAGATACAAGGTCCTAGAGCAGCTGGGCAGCAGCCTGCAGAGGGCGCTGTGACCACCTCTGAGAAAAGCATAGAGATGGACTCCTTCACGGCAATCTCCCAGATGTGATAAAGCAGACAGTGCAGAAGGGGGAAGAACCCTGGTCCCCCCACTAGGGTCCTGGAACACATCTGGGCCCCACTCACTAAGACACGAAGCCCTGCCCGGTGAGCCCCCGAGAATAAAAGAGGAATGACTGAGACAGGCAGGTCCAGAATGAGGCCTCCCTTCTACAGAGAGCCCCACGAGAGATCTTGCACCACGGGTGTCAGGAATGGGAACACCAAGTCTCAATGCACCTTTAACCCACCCAGGATCTGGAAGGAACCAGCCCCACCTGCATCATTGCTGAGACCCTTGGATCAGCAGGGCCCATTAGAGAAATCAGGTGGCCAGGAGGGAACCTCCTGGGACCAGACAGGGCTGTGGGAAACCACATCGGGGGCAGGGCCTGCACCCTGGCAATGCCGGACTTCAGGGCGGTGCAGGGAGTACAGGGCCAAACTCTAGAAGGAAAGGGTCCAGGGGGTTCCTCCAACCAGAGCAACCAGTGAGGGGGAGGTTGGTCCCATTGGCTTCAAAGCAAGAGGAGTAATGTGGGAGGCAATGGAACTTCGCTGAAAAAGGAGGGGCTGGGGTTGGAGAGCCTGGATGAGAGGGGCATTAGGGGGCAGGTAAGGGCCCACTAAGGCAGCTGGAGGTGGAAGGGGCGAGGGAAAGAGGTTGAAAGGAGAAAAGGAAACAGAGCAGGTGGTTCTACGTTGCAGAATCTCCAGGTGTGCCCCTCGCTCCCACCTGCTGCACTCACAGGCCCTACTTGTTGCCCCAGGTGGCAGGCTTTGTGTACACAGGGGTCGGGAGGTAGCGGCTGGACTTCATGTAGGCAGAGATCTTCTTCAGGCCCTGAGGGAGGGAAAGGGAGGCCAGGCATCAGGGGCTGCTGCTCCGCCCACCCTGGGCTCCCCCAGCCCCACTGCAGGCACTGAGGGGTCAGGGACCTGGCAGGACCTCCACCTGGGGTCAGCTGCTGGGGCACATGACAGCCTTCATGGGGTCCACAGCTCTCCCCGGCTAACTCCCCAGTTTTCCATAACTGATGTGACCCCTCAGTCAGGGGACCACACACGAGGGTCTGGGCTAGGCCAGGTGCATTATAACCACTAGAGATCATGGCCCATGTTTACAGCCTGCACACACCTCCCCACAAGGTAAGTTCTGCCATCACCCTTTATGGGAAGCAAACCGAGGCTCACACAGCTACACTCAGCACCTTCCTCAGGCCACACTGCCAGATACTGGGAAGGGCTGGAGGCACCCGGGTCTAACTCTGGCCCTTTCTGCCCCACTCCCCTCCTCCCTCCCACACAGGAGGCCTTGACCTTCCCAGTCTGCACAGTCTCCTTTTGCAGAGGGAGCCTTTGGCCTCCCAGGGGCCGCCCAAGGAGGGGCTGCAGGGGGAACAAAGGGCTCAGAATGTGCCTGTGCAGCTTGCACAGGAAGCCAGACCTCCCCAGTGACTCAGCAAAACAGGGATGAAAGCTGATAGGAAGTGAAAGCTGAAGGAATTCCAGCCTGACCCTAACCATGCCAAGGAGAAAATCTAGCTGGACGTCCTGGCACCTGAGCCCACTCTCACTGCACCGTGGTGACCTACCTCACCCCCGTCCTGCTGCAGCCAACCAGGCCTGAGACACTCAGTGTGTGAGCACCATCTTCCCAAGACACAGGGGGCCCAGGACATTCCACAGGACTCTAAGGTCCTGGGACCTCCCGTAACCAGGCCTGGGCCCAGCAGGTGGCAGCCTGCAGCCCACAGCTGTCCCTGAGGCCTCCCAGCTGGTCACACATCCCAGCTCTTGCCTCAAGTCCAAGGCTGATCCCCCTGGACCAGAACCAGAGCTCACAGAACTAGCTGACTAAGTAGGTCTCTTGATGGCAGTGGGAAAGGGCACAGACCATAAGCTGAAAACCTTGAGGGCTAACGATGCCTCCAACTCCCTCATCAGTGACAAAGCAGACTCGGCTGACCCTCTGTGAGGTGGCTGAGGGTGATGGGTCATGAGCTGGGAGGGGAGGAACAGGCCGTGCACCTCCAGTGCCCCAGTGGGACCCCAGGTCTGCACAGCAGGGGACCTCCTGTACCTCTCCAGCTGCATGGAGACCCCGGTTGAGGTTTCCGGGACTGTGCCACCTTTGCACCCCCTCTGTGCCCGACACTAGGGCTCATGCAGAAAAGGGCAGATCAGTCTATAGGACTGGAAGGCCATGTACCACCCCATCCCCCAGACATCAATTTGGGTTAGAGAGACAGGTAGGGCAAGAGAGTGCCCACCACCCAAGACATCAAGATGAAACACTTCCTCAGGGGAACCCACATGTGCCCTTAGACGCCATACCCACCACGGCCCTGAAATCTCAGTACTGCCCAGAGGGCACCCCGCTGTGCAAAGCTGTTTGGAGACAAGCAGTAAACACTGTGTGTGTCTTTGGTACTCCTGTGCCTCAGCACCAGGCATTTTGCTACATGGGAACACCCAGACCCTCTGCCTCCTCCCCCATGCCCTGAGCTGTGCCCCAGGCTGCAGAGGGACCTAAGCCCTTCCTTCTGGCCCAGGAAATGGCAGGCACTGACGGCCACCCACAAAAGCTGACACTGACTGGGAGCCCAGCATAGCCAGGGCCCGGACTGTGACCTTGAGCAAAGGCCTTACCCTTTCACCCTCATTTCATTATCTGTGAAAGGGAAGAAAGTCATCCATCGTTCACCCATAGGACGAGGGTAAAGGTCAGTTTAACCCAGTGTGAGCACATGCTGAGGATGGATCCAGGCAGGCACACAGCCAGTCCTCAGAGAGCGCTACTTAGGCTTCTCATGAGCTCCAGGACAAGGGAAGCTTCAGGAATGAGACATAAGACCAAACGGGTTAAACTGAGAGACCAGTGGAATCACCTCTATGCGGGTAAGGAACTCCTTCAGGTTCGGGGAACGCATCCAGGCACTTGGGCTCGAACATGCGCAGTATGTCAAGGATGTCATATGCCAGGAAATCCACATAGGTGAGCTGCAGACATGATGGAAGGAACTGGTGCCCAACTCTGAACCTGGGAATACATCAGCTCCCCCTCCCAAAGCCGTCCCCTTACCTTGTCCCCGGCAAACCAAGACCTCTTCCCCAGAAACTGAGAGAAGAGCTTCATCTTATCAGGGAGCACCTTCAAAAACTCCGGCTTCAGTTTCTCCTGAGGCACAAAACAGCCGTCACCACCCTCAGACACAGACCCCAGGGCCTGGGCCAACACAGGCCTCCCAGCCCCAGCCACTAAGTGATGAGCAGCCTTGTCCCCCAAATGAACCTGGGTCAGTGCCCAGGTTACAATGTAATCCAGCTGTGTTCACAACACACCTACTGGGTGTGGCTGCCCATGGGGGAGGGGGTGCCGGGGTGGGGCAGGCGGTGGGGAAGGCAGAGGACACCACACTGTCCCTGACATCTCCAAACACGCTCCCTCGGCTCAGACCCAGGAGCTTGTGGGAACCTAGCAGAGCTCAGGACTCAAGCAGAATGAAAGATGCAAAGAACCAAAATGTCCTAGGGGAAGAAGTGAGGAGTCCCAGCTGGTGGGGGACGCCATGGACACCTGAGCACTGTCTGGACAGATGGGGAGAACTTGAGAGGCTGGGAGGAAGGAGGGAGAGGCACAGAGGCCCTGTGGGTGCCCCCCACGCTGCCTCCCACAGGGACCTGTGCTGACGATGCCTATGGGTGCCAGGGAGGGGGGCCGGGATGAGGAGCTGAACACACTTTTGGGAACGGAAGTTGCACCCTGGGGAGTCTGGACTCTATTCTAAGGTATCTCTAAGTCAGAGATTTCATCTGAGGCACTTGGGGGTTGTGTGACAGTACAGGGACCAGTGTGGAGCATCAGAATCTCCAAGTTCACAGGCAACCAGGGCCAGTGCAGAACAGATGAAAGCATGCATGCTCTGAACAAAGCCTGCGCAGCTGTGCTGGACAGGAGATGAAGACTCACATAGTCAGGGCTGTAGCAGACACTGGCCAACTGATTCGACGTGTCCATGGCCTCATTCTCCAAAATGTCCACGCGAATCTTCTCCTCCTCTGTCTCACCACCTACAGCCACACAACAGAGGCTCTGCCTCAGCATCCCATCCCAGCCAGCCCTGGGGCACGGCCACTAGTCCCCTGGCACCAGTCCCCAGCCACACTCACAGAGGTTATGCTTGCGAGCGATGTAGCGAAGGATGGCATTGCTCTGGGTGAGCCTGTGAGCCCCGTCAATTAAGTAGGGCAGCTGGAAGGGCAACAGGGGCAGGTCAGTGGGCCACAGGCTGCCCTGAGCCCCCTTCCTGCCTCTGGGGCACACATGGACCTGGCACCACCATGTGTGGCCCATGGCAGGCACTGAGCAAATGTAGCAGAAAGCATGAGCTGGAACCCAGGGCATCAGAGGACAGCAGTGAGGGACCAGGGAGTCGGGAGGATTCACAGAGGCCCCAGATTGCCAAACCTCTGTGGAAGCTGGGAAAGGAGACCTGAGCAGAGACGGGGTCACTCATGCCCACTGGCCCCACCCCTTGCACCTACATTGGGGAAGTCCAGGCCCAGCGTGAATTTCTCATTCAGCCACTGGCTTCTGTCAAAGTCGGGAGCTGTGGTGGAGAAGATGCAATGAAGGAAACTTCCTCCTGAGGACCACCCTCTTCCCCGGGTGCCGGGCCCCTAAAAAGGTGAGTCTGCAATCTGAACACCAGGTGTCTCACCCACGTGGGGGGGGAAACAAGGCCACAGCTCTCAGCCACCCACAAGGATAAGGCTTCCATAAAGTGCAGAGGAGCCCAAGGGGAGCCACCAGTCACTGACACAGGGGCCCAGCTGTCCCTTCTGCTGTGCTGCATGGAAGCCCCAAGTCCACCCTCAGGCAGTGGAGGTGGCAGAGGTGAGCCACAGGTGGCCTGGCCACGGGTGTCTGGTACCCAATCAGCAGCAGGAGTGGGGCGAGAGTCCGAACGAAACAGGGATGCTCTTACCGTCTCCCATCGTGTACCTCTTCTCCTGGTAGTTGGAGTCCGTGTATTCCAGCAGCAAGCGGATGGCGTGAGCCAGCTGCAAGGGACGGCCGGATCGCGGTCAAGGTTCAGACCTCTGGACTCGCTCTGCTACGGGAACCCCTCCCCAACACACAGACACCCCCACCCCCAAGGCGCCCACGCGCTCGCCCGCCGGGAGATGGACCCGAGCAAGGTTAGCTCGGCCAGCCCTGAGCAAGGCCTCATCCCTCACGGGCGCCCATGAGGACCCCTCGCTCACCCCGCGAATGTCCCAGTAACCCAGAGTCATTGCCATGGTTAAAGTTCTTTGCGTTCTGGGGTAGGCCGCTGGAGCGGAGCTCAGAGTTATTCCGGGGCGGGGCTTGTGCGGGCGGTGCCGGGCTTAGCGAAGGCCACACCCCCTCACAGCCCCGCCCCCGCCAAAAACCCAATCAGCTGTCGCTCCCTGGGACGACTCCCCCGGGGCTCCGTAGCGCAGCGTTCGGCCTCCTATCCTCTTAGTGTAACGTTTGTCTCGCACGGAACCGCGATGCTTTGGGCTACCGAGGGTGGGCGCCAGCACGCAGAAGGTCGCCGGGCCCGGCTCGCCTGGGTGCCCTGGGCAGCTCCTGGACTCCCGCCCGCATTCAGACCTCGACTGGCTCACAGGGAGGGGACAGTGCACGTGGGAGACACAGCTGACAAATCTGAACTGCAAACAGCATGGCTCCTCTTGCTTCCCTCCTACTCCAGGCACTGCTCGGCTTCCCCGCTGGGCCGCAGAGTTCCCAAGGCCTCGGGGAGTCTCAAACTGCCACATTAAAGCCAAAGATGGGCGGGCCCTTCAAAGCTAGAGTGTCCCTCAGCGCCTGTCAAGGGAAGCCCGCCAGCCTGAAAGCTCCTCCAGGACCTGGACATGCCTGATGCCTCCTGTCTCCCAGCCCCCACCAGCAGGGGGATGGGGACTCCCAGGGCCACAGCAGAGACAGGGAGCCAGGGTCTCAGGGTTTCCATTTCTGTGCATTGGAGGACCCAGCTCCTAAGTCATGTGACTAAGAGTGATGAGAATCAAATGCAAAGTAATCAATTAGGTTTATGCACGAAGTTGCTGATTAAAATCCGGTACCAGCTCCCAGAAAGAGACAGGTATGGAGGCGCAGTCCCTACACGCCCTGCCAGCCAGGTGCCTGCTAGATGTCCCCAGTGCTGACCAATACTGACCAGAGCAGGATGGCAGCATGCTGGTCACACAGGCAGGTGAGGGAAGAGGGGGAGCTGTGTGTGCCCTGAGGGGCCAGGCTCCTGTGCTACTGCCAGGGCACCACGTGGGGGGTGGCCAGCAGGAGCCAAGGACACCTCACAGGACCACTGCAGTGTGACCCTGTAGACCCTGCTGTCCAGGTCCCCGGGGGCCACCCTGACCCTGGCTCCTGACCCCTGTGTTTGTGGTATGAGAGAGTGGCTCTGGTTGCCTGTGAAGTCCCTCTGTGACCTGTGATGTGTGACCTGTGATATAGCCTCCACAAGAAAACATCCTGGTCCCCACAGTGTCGCCTTTTGTATTAGAACATGGTCCTGCTAAGCCAAAGTTGCGGCATTGATCTCTGGTCAGGGCACACACAAGAAGCAACCAGTGAGTGCGTGAGTAAGTGGGACAACAAAGCGTTTTTCTCTCTCCTCCCTCCACCCGTTCCCTCTCTCTGAAAGCAATGAAAACAATGTTTCAGGTGAGAATTTAAGAAAAACAAGCCCTGGCTTGTGTAGCTCAATAGACTGAGCACCGGCTGGGAACCCGCTGGTTCCATTTCCAGTCAGGGCACATGCCTGGGTTGCAGGCCAAGTCCCCCAGTGGGGGCCACAGTGAGAGGCAACCACACATTGATGTTTTTCTCCTTCTCTTTCTTCCTCCCTTCCTCTCTCTCTAAAAGTAAATAAATAGAGGAATTCCACCAAGATGGAGACATAGGTGGAAACACTGCACCTTCTCGCACAACCAAGTTTAAAGACAACAAAATTTTAGTAACAAAAAACACAGCCAAAACACAGAAAATTGTACTATACAGAAGTCTGACAACAATGAACTGTTCAGCCAGACCAGTAAGAGTTGCGGAGCCAGCAGCAGAGCAGGGTTGGGCAGATCCCCCAACCCAGGCACACAGATATGGGGTTGCAAAGGGTGGACCCAGTGAGGGCGCAAGGCGGCAGGCTGACCGCAGTCACACATTCGTGCTCTGATAAACCAGCGAAGGAGCGAGCATTGAGACAGACTGAGCAGTGCCCAGCAGCGGGAAGCAGCAGAGGGTATTGCTATTGCCCCTCTCTGACCCGCCCCCACATATAGCAACATAACCCAGTGACCTGGGTGGCGCCGCCCCGGTGAACACCTAAGGCTCCGCTACTCAAAGGTAACAGGCGAGAACAGACCAAAACATGGCTCAAGAAGAACTCAAAGCCCCAGAGCCAATAATACTAAGCGATGAAGAAATAGCTAAACTTTCAGATGCACAGTTCAAAACACTCGTGATCAGGACACTCATAGAACTGGTTGATTTTAGTCACAAATTAGAGGAACAAATGAAGGCTAAACTAATTGAAATAAAGGGAAATGCACAGGAAACCAATAGTGATGGAAAGGAAACTGGGACTCAAATCAAGGGAATGGACCAGAAGGAAGAAAAAAATGACCAAACAGAAAAGAAGGAAAAAACAAGAATTCAAAAAAACGAGGAGAGGCTTAGGAACCTCCAGGACATCTTTAAACGTTCCAACATCAGAATTATCGGGGTACCAGAAGGGGAAGAGGAAGAGCAACAAGTGGAAAACTTATTTGAACAAATAATAAAAGAGAACTTCCCCAATCTGGCAAAGGAAATAGACTTCCAGGAAATCCAGGAAGCTCAGAGAGTCCCAAAAAAGTTAGACCCAAGAAGGAACACACTAAGGCACATCATAATTATATTAGCCAAGATTAAAATGAAGGAGAGAGTCCTAGAAGCAGCGAGAGCTAAGGGGACAGTCACCTACAAAGGAGTTCCCATCAGACTATCAGCAGATTTCTCAAAAGAGACCTTACAGGCAAGAAGGGGCTGGAAAGAAGCATTCCAAATCATGAAATCCAAAGACCTACAACCAAGATTGCTCTATCCAGCAAAGTTTTCATTTAGAATGGAAGGGCAGATAAAGTGCTTCTCAGATAAGATCAAATTCAAGGAGTTCATCATTACCAAGCCCTTATTATATGAAATGTCAAAGGGACTTACCTAAGAAAAAGAAGATAAAAAAGATGAACAGTGAAAGGACAGCAAACTCACAGCTATTAACAACCACACCTAAAACAAAAGCAAACTAAGAGGACAGCTAGATCAGGAGCAGAGCCATAGAAATGAAGATCACATGGAGGGTTAGCAACAGGGGAGTGGGAGGAGAAGGGGGGAGAAGGTACAGAAAATAAGTAGCATAGAGAGTAAATAGAAAATAGATAGGGGGAGGGCAAGAATAGTAGGGGAAATATAGAATCTAAAGAACTTGAGACAGGTGGTCATAAACTAAAGGGGGTAATGGTGGGGGAGGGGGTGTGCAGGGTGGAGGGGAATGAAGGGGGAAAATAGAACTGTAATGGCATAATCAATAAAATATATATTTAAAATAATAAATAAATAAATACATATATTTTTTTAAAAGAAAAACTAAATGAGTGTCTGTCATTATCAGAGAGATAAGGAGAAATCCCCCAGGTTGCAAAACAGAGTCAAGCACTTTTTTTTTGGAGGGGAGGCAGGGCGGGGGGTGGAATAGAGTTAGATGTCTGGCAAGAAAAACTTTTGTCTACTCAAGGAAGAAAACAGAAAATAACCATAACTTATTTATAATCCATTTCAAGAGGCTTTTGTAACGAGTTCCTTTGGAGTGTGAAAGGCCCCCGATGTATTCCTGTACTGCCTGATTACCCGGAGGGCTGCACTTTTACGAAATTAGTACTAAATCCTAAATCCCCGTCATATTTTCGGAGAGCCACGCTCCCGCAGCGCCTCCTGGCGGCCCAACGTGCAGCTCCTAGGCGGAGACTGGCCCAGCCTGGTCGTGTGGTGAACGCCCATCTTCGCCTCGGGCGGAGGCTTAACCCCACCCACCTACCCACCCACCCGGCTTCCCATAGACCTCTGGGCCGCTCCCACCTGCTCCACTGATCCTGCAAGTAACACGCCTCTGTTCTCAAGAGAAAGACAAACCACTGAACATTAGCCACCTCGGTCATTGAGATATTCTGTATTTTCACCTAAAAGATTGTCAAGACGTGGGGTTGACTCTTGTGTGTAGTGTGAAGTTGGAGTTGGCATTTTCTTCCTGTATGCATGCCTGTTGGTTCAGCGCCAGTGGTTGAAAAAGCCCTGCTTTGGGACCCCAGATTGGGGGCAGGTGGTGACAGCAGTTTCTCTCTGCCTCAGGGCAGGATGGTGTAGGAGGCACCCTGCTTTCTCTAAGCTTTGGAAGGTGGTTGCACTTAGGACTGTATGTGTCATAGCTGCTTGAGTAGCAAATAGTCCCCAGGAGGAAAATAATTCTGCCTGGCAGCTGGGAGGCAGTAAGGAAGTCAGGGAATGAGCCCTGGGAAAGGAGGTGTACAGGTGGGACGTTCACAGGAAGGCTGGGTATGAGGTTCGGGCTTGGCAGGTGTGAGACAGGAAAGGGGTGTGAAGACTTGACTGGCTCAGAGACAGGGCAGCCCCATTGTCGGGGTGTCCTAGATGTGGCACTCCACTGAGGGGGGCTGCTGAGGCCCAGGACACAGCTAGCCTTCCCTTACCATCTGAGGGACCGGCCCCTCCCCTGGCTGGTGAAGATGGACCCCTTGGGCACCTTGTTCCCGGAACACAAACCAAGAGACAGACAGTGGGGCAGACAGACAGACAGACAGACAGAGCATTGCCTCTGGAGCCAGACCTCCTAGGTTGGCATCCTAAGTCCACCACTTACAAGCTGTGTGACTCTGGGAAGGTTACTTAACCTCTCTGTGCCTCCTTTTCCTTCTCTGTAAATAGCCATAATGGCGCCTACTTCACAGGGCTGATTTGAGGATTCAATGAGATTAGACATTCGAAGTTCCTGAACCACTGCCTGGCATGTGGTGAACATTCAGTAAATGTTGGCAATTGTCATTACATGACTCATTAGCCCTGATGGTTAAATTCAGGACCCCAAACTCCCTGCCAGTAGTGTTTGCTGAGCACCCATGGGGAGCAAAGTACTGGACTAAGCATCATGGGACCAGCTTCCCATGACATCAGACCCAGCCCCGGCCTCCAAAGGAGGCAAGGAGACCCCTCCAGGCCCCATCCCAGGGAGGCACTGATCCAGGGGCCAAGGGCACTGCTGTCCCCTTCTCCTGTAGCCTTTGAGAC